GTCTCTGGAGCTCAGGAAGCAGGGCCAGTGCAGTCAAGGGTCACCCTGCCTTGCTCTCCTGCCTTCCTGCCTTCCCCCCACCCCTCTCAGTGCCCGGAACTGGGCCCCCTGGGCATCAGCATCTCATCCCTGCCTCAGCTTGGGCTTTCTAGGGAGCTTGGCCAAAGACCTTTATTTATTCATTTTACCTTGACAGAAAAGGGGACATTAACAAATACTTCTTATAAAAAGGGTGGTGAGTTTGCTCAGTAGAGAAAAAAATGGACACATAATAATATGCCTATACTTATATAAAAGTGCCTGAAAGGATACATTAAAAAAAAAAAAAAGCTCCTTCTTACCAGTTGTTGCTGGGAGATGGGACCAGGACCATAAGTGCACCCTTAATACCCTCCCGTTATGTGAACTTCTTCAATGTGCACTTTAAAATTCTCTTTTGAGCCCTGGCCGGTTTGGCTCAGCAGTTAGAGCGTCGGCCTGTGGTCGAGAGAGACCCGGGTTCGGTTCCCGCTAAGGGCGCGTACCTCGGTTGCAGTTTGTCCCCGGCCCTGGTTGGTCATGCAGGTGGCAGCCACTCGATGTGTCCCTTTCACGTCGATGTCTCTCTCTCTCTCTCTTCCTTTCTCTCTCCCACTCTATCTGAACAAAAAATGGCAAAATGTCGAGTGAGGATAAAAAAAAAAATCTCTTTTGAAAAAGTTTTTCTTTTTATGACAATGGTGAATAATGTTTTGAACTTGTTTATAAAATCTTGAGTAATAGTACTGTGTATATCTGGCTAGAAATTCATTATCATCGCACCTGCGGTCTTCTAAATTACACTAAATTTGATTTCACAAGGGAAGCGAGTCTAATACCTCATTAAGTTGACTGAACCATGTAGGGTAAGGAATCCCATTTGTATGAGAACAGAAAAGCAGTGGGAACCTCGACTTTTGCCTTTTATCCTCCAGTTATTTTTCCTGGACATAAACGAGGTCCCCTCTTGGAAGGGTGCAGGACTCAGTGCGGAGAACAGTGCTGAGTGTGAAAGCCAGAGCAGGGCAGAGGTGGGGAATGGCAACAAATGACACCCAACGGGACAGGAGACAGGAGTGGGGACTGGCTGGCCATCAGCCCCCTGAGGAGAAGGCGCCCCTGGACGAGGCCTCTAACCCCGACTCCAATCTCAGAGACGGAGCCCACTGGCCTGATGGCTGCACTTCTGCCTTGGCTTGGACCAGGGCCTGGGAATGTCGAAGAAAACAAACAACACAAAAACACCTCTCAGTTCTTTCCAAGAAACAAAGCCACTTATATTTTCAGCACCTTTCAACTCCAATCTCTGGATGAATACATCCTATTTCCTCCCGAGGGGTCAGAACCCTCATTTCGGGCGGCCTGGCCCGCAGCTTCTCCGCTTGCTCCTCACCCGCAGTGGGGGAAGGAGCTGCTTCCTCCGCAAGAGTCTGGGTGTCACGAGAAAGGCAAGTCTGGTCTGAAAGGGGCTTTCTTTTTCTGTAAGTAGGGCCTTCAAACTAAGGTCTCTCCTTTTTTCTTTATCCTCACCAGAGGACATTTTTGCATTTATCTTCAGATAGAGCGGGAGGGAGAGAGGGAGGAAGAGACAGAGAGAAAGATTGATGTGAGAGAGACACATCAAGTGGTTGCCACCCCACAACCCCAACTGGGGCCGGGGACAAACTACAACCAAGGTACGTGCCCTTCGCGGGATCTGAACCTGGGACTCTCTGGTCCGTGGGCCGATGCTCTAACCGCTGAGCAAAACTGGCCAGGGCCAAACTAAGGTCTTAAAAAATAAAGTTTTTGCAACTTTCCTTCTTATACTTGGCCTCAATGGATTCTTCGATGTGAATGGAACCTAATGTCTGCGCAAACAAACCACGGCACAAGCTGGTGGCTGACAACACAGCAGTGTCTTCTTTCTCACTGAGGCTGACCGGGCGGTTCCTTGCTGGCTTGGTCAGGCTCCCTCGTGTGGCTGTATTTAGCTGGTGCACCCTGTTGAACTGGAAGGTCCCAGATGCCTCTCACTGTCGGTAGCTGGTGCTCACTGTCAGAAGGGGCACCTGTTCCCTTCTGGCCTCTCCTTGTCCAGGAGGCTAAACCAGTTCCCTATGAGGCTCCCTTACGGTCAGGGCCAGATTCTAGAAGAGCAAACCAGAAGCTACAAGGTCCCTGAAGACTAGGTTCCAACTCACACCATGTCACTTCTGCCACCGTATATGGTCAAAGTCACATTGCCAGCCCAAATACAAGGACTAGGGAAACAGACTCCACTGCCTCATGGGAGGAGCTCAAAGCTTTGTGGTCAAATTTAACCTACCACATTCCACTATCTGGCCATGGTTATTTTCATTCTCCTTATGCAAAATTTACACACTTCCTCCTAATACAGGCTAAAGTCCAGTATTTTGTGATCGTCATCTGGTCCAGCAAGGGATGAGACTTCTTCCTAGGGTGTAGCTTTTTAAAATCCAAAATACTGTGACCTAGTTAAGTGACATTTATATATCCAACATACTATGGTGAGGGAGGGACAGGATAACTAGCAGATACTTCATTTTACTAAGGACAGTCACTGGTCCACAATAATTCTGCAACCCAGCTGGGCATGTCACCCATGTGCACTCAGGGGCAGGGCATGTGGATCAGGATTCCTTGTGCTACCTGGCAGTGGTACCCTCGCCCATCATGTTTGGCTCTGCCTTGTGAGCTCTTGGCTAAGACTTTCCAAAAAGTCTACTTTCCATAAGGAATAGTTCCTGTTTACAATAGTTCCCTCATCCTGCTTCCTTCCTATTGGAATTTGGGGGCCAGGGGGCCTCTTTTCATTGTGATACAAATTCCTTCAAACTTTATGGACTTTCTCTTATGATGAAAATTCAATGAAGAAAGTATAGTCTTTTCAATAAATACTTCTGGACAACTGGACATCCATATGCAAAAGAATGAAGGTGAGTCCCTTCCTTATATCATACGTAAGAATGAACTGAAAATGGATCATAAACGTAAATATAAGAAAACTATAAAGTGAAAAGACAACCCACAGAATGGGAGAAAATGTTTATAATCCTATAGTTGATAAAGGATTAGAATCTAGAATATATAAAGAACTCTTACAACTCTACAAAGACAAAAATAATTCAATTAAATTGTCAAAGGATTTGAGTAGACATCGCTCCAAACTTATATAAAAGGCCAATAAGCACATGAAAATATGCCCAACATCATTAGTTATCCACAATATACAGCTTCACATTTCATATCATTTGCCATATCATTTAAATCATTAAGTATTACTAAGGTATTCATAAAGGATTATATAACTACGCCTTTGGTGTAATCTTTTTCCTGAGGCTATTTCTTACTTTGAGAATCTCTTGCCATTGGACATACTGGAAATGGAAAACCACTTTATTTTCCAATCCAGAATTTCTTCAACCCTTGGTATCTCTTTTAAATTCAGATGGAAAACAGAATGGCGCCTTCTACGGTTCATCTTTTCTGCACCCTGTCATATTCACCTACACAAGCACATCGATCGCCTTGACACTTCCAACATTCTGCCTGGACATAACCATACTGATCCCCAAGTTCCTTAGGTACAACCTCTTCCCAGGTCACACGGGCCAGGCTTGACAAATGTTTCAACACTACTTAACACAGCCCCGTGGTGTGATCTTTCTCAAGAAAGGTACCTGTGCCCTGTGGTGCCCCCTTTTCCAAGGGAGTCTCATTCCAAACTTCTCATTTTAAAGGGTGTGAACTTGCAACATTATTTCCAGCACCCGTAAACAGCTCCCCAGAGAAGCTGATGTCTAAGCTCGGCCTATACTCTCTCCCCCATATACCTACGGTCAAGGTCCCTCTCATGCTCACCTTATACAGAGGTCAGAGGTCAGCTGGGTTCCTCTCCTGCAGGGTTCCTCAAGCCCCAAGTTTGTGCTGCTGCACTTTCGGCCCGGCCGGCCGGCCTCTTCTTCCATGAGTTTTCGCTCACAGCAAGTGATGTTTGCCGAGTGTTCTGGCTCAGTGCCCTCTCGGTCAAAACAACACCATCAACAAAATGACAGTGGGCTAATACCCTCGATATATACGATCCCTCACAAACCAGTGAGAAAAGTAAAAATAGTCAAAATAAAAATAGAAACAGGCAAGTAGAGAGCGGCCAATATATTTTTTAAATGCCCCCCCCCCCCCACACACACACACTATTTTCAGTCATCAGTAAAGGAAACAGGGACTCTGCTGGTGGGTGTGCACACTTCTCTCTTAGAAAGGCAAATTGGAAATATTTACCAAGAATCTTAAGACCCACAAAACCCTTTCCTAAAAAAGTTATACTAAGGAAATATCAATGATATAGTAGGAAGATTCACTGAAGTTTTATTTATAAAATGAAAAAACTGAACCTATATATTCAACAAGGGACTGACAAAACAAATTTTGATTCATTTGCACTATGCAGTTTTTAAAATATTTGACATAAAATTCATGATACTTTAAGTGAAGAGCAGACTATAAATTAAAATACATAAATATACACACCACACACACAACCCCGATTTTGAAAAAATTTGAAAAATAATTACGTATATTTTAATATTAAAAGAAGTTACCTGTAGATAATGGGGGCAATGCTAGAATTTGTTTCACTCTTCCTTGTATTTTCCACATTTTTCCAGATTTGCTACAATGGGGGAAAGATACTCTTCTCCTGGGAATCTGTAATTACTTTTGCTCTAGCTTATTTTCACAATTTCTGCCCTTTCCTCATTTCTGACCCCAAATAACATTCGCACTGGCTCCGGGTGGTGGCTCGGGGTAGGGGCAGGGGAGATGGCTACGTGCTTGAACTTGTTCGCCAGAATTTTCTAAATCGGGCAGTCCAATGAGTTACGCCATTGGAACATGAGAGAAGTCATTTGCACTGAGGCTCAATAATTTAAACAGACCTGACAACAAAAACATTTACCAAGAAGTAGAGAAACATCTTTTTCTATTTATTGGAATAATTAAATAACCCAGAGTAAAATTTTCAAAACATATATAAAAATATTCACTTTAAAAATTAAAATATAATGAAAATATAAAATATGTATATAGTTAAAATACATTAACTGAGCATCCTCAAAACTACATAAATAGGGGATATCAATGAAATTCTTTAGAGATGTAACATCTATTCTTTGAATAAAGTTTGAAATTTGTTCATAATGTTCAAAGTAAGAAAGGAAGTAGTAGGTAGTAGCTCTGCCCAATTAACAGTTGTCCAAAGAGAATGATTCTGTGTTATTTCTTGCTTGTCTTTTCCAATACCCATTCAATCACCTAGTGGAAGAAAAGAATATGGTTATGGACCATTTTTATTAAAAATGTAAGTGATAGAAAAAGATACTGTTAAAACTTCAAGAGTGTGGTAGAAATTTTAAATGAAAAAGTCAAGCTCTCAAAACCTATGTTATCTCACAAACACGTTTCATTCTCTGGCTGGAGAGCACTTTTTGCTTGACTCCCACTGCAGAGTATCATTTCCCACTGGACCAAATGATGACTCTGCTTTCTTTTCTCACATTTCAAATGTTTTCAAAGTCTCACTAGAAAGAAATCTAACCAAACTTTTCAAACAACTACTCAAAATGAATTTTTCTAGCTTTCTGGACCACTTTTTAAATTTTTCTTTCTTAGCATCATTATAGAAACTCTTGTTCACAGAGCAGCCTATTAGATGTCACAAAATACTTTGCTATTAACTATTTTAAAGAGTGTCCCTACTGTGTGGATAACAGCATCATAGCTACCCTGAAATAAAACAGAAACTCAGCTGGATGTAGACTTGTGGGAATAACTGCATTACCTGTACAGCATTGTTGTTTGCAGTTTTCTTCATTTCTTGAAACAGACCCCTTGAAGTCTTAAGATCCTAAACATCACAAAATACAGCATTTTACAACTTGCACATTAAATCAGAGGAGTCATTAGTAAATACACTTGAGATTATCCTTTGTTTTGGTATCACTTGTGTGAAAAGCATTCCCGAAAAGTTTGCTAATCCTTGGCAAGCTAGTCATATTTAAAAAAGAGATACTGCCCTGGCCGGTTTGGCTCAGCGGTTAGAACATCAGCCTGTGGACCTAAGAGTCACAGGTTTGATGGCGGTCAAGGGCACGTACCTTGGTTGTGGCTCGGTCCCTGGCCCTGGTCGGGAAAAATATCCTCGGATGAGGATTAAAAGAAAAGCTGGGGACAGGGCAGGAAGGGAGGGGGAGGAGGGAATCAGTGGGGGGAAAAGGAGAAACATCTGTAACAAAAATAAATAAATTCAAAAAAATAAAAAAATAATAAAAAGATACTAAAAATCGTACTGGAAGCTCTGTCTTGTGTGGAGTTTATTCATGGGTGACTTGACAGTAGGGTGGATCAGGAGCAGTTGGTATTATTTTGATGCAGCCTCTGATTCCTTTTCCTCCAGAGACGATTTCCTGTACTGTCACAGCTCTGGGGAAGACTAGGAGTGAAAGACCTTGTAGCCCGGCTGGTGTGGCTCATTGGCTGAGTGTTGACCCGTGCACCAAGAGGTCGCCGGTTCGATTCCCAGTAAGGGCACATGCCCAGGTTGTGGGCCCGAACCCCAGTGCAGGGCATGCAGGAGGCAGCCAGTTGATGTTCTCTCTCATCGATGTTTCTATCTCTCTCTCTCTCCCTCTCCCTTTCTCTCTCTAAAAATCAATAAAGAAAAAAAATTAAAAACCAAAACAAAATGTATATTTAAAAACAAAAAGACCGTAGTTAGCATGGGAGAGGACTGGCAGAGCAGCGGAAGGTCCCTAGTTCCCTCTGTAGAGCTTGATCTAATTCCCCTGCTTTCCACGAGAGCTTTGTCTTCGAGCCCTGAGCATCCCAGAGACTGTGTCCTTTGAAATGGTTTGTTTCTCATGGGTCTTTCACGAGGTTATAACTTCTTTTACTCTGCTATGCCACACTGCTGTGTACTTTGTTCAGTGATCTACTACAAAACACATCTACATTTTTTCTCTTTCCTCTTTTCTTAATACAGTATTTCTTGAGAGTTTAGAAAGGAGGGGAACTGAAACTCACATCCAACTGTGATTCAAGTCTGAAACTCTTCATATGAGATAATCTAACACCATCTAAGTTTCTGAAAACTGTCATCTGAATGGCTGATCTGCCCAGTGTTTCACAACTAGCTGATAATGGATCCAACATTAAAAACGGGTCCAGCAGCCTTTCCATTACATACTAAAATTACTAATTAAATATTTTTGAAGCACATTATCAACTTCAATCAAGGACTTGTGAGAAAGAGACTGAGGATACCAACTAAAATGTACTTTTCTATAGATGAGGACTAAAATCAAATCAACCTAAATATTTTAGCTCCATTTTTCTATTTCCATTTCTAAAAGAAACTGGCCACCAGCGACAAGCAGTCGGCGAGGCCCCACCTTCAGGTAGAACTTGGCGATCTCGAAGAGGCGCTGGCTGCAGGCGGGGAAGCACTCGTGCTCCTCGGCGATCCGGTGTCGCTTCAGCGTTTCAGTGACCACTTCTTTCAACATCTTGAACAGAACATATGACTAGTATTTCTTGGAAAAGGTACAAACATTACTTCAGCGTTCGAGCTCAGCTCTGCATGTTACTCAATCACGGAGCTATGCTAGAGACAGATCAGCTCATTAAAAGAAAACTGAGAGGAGAAAGAGCTGAAACACTTATATGGTCACACGTGTCCCGGGATGAAATCGGTTAGCAAGAGGTGGCTGCAGTATCTTCAGACAGACTCACATCGTGAGTTCTGGATTCAAATCTGAGTGTAAGTCATACACGGTAGTGCATTTATTTTTTCTACAGAAACTTTCAAACACGGAAAAGTAGAGAGAACATTTTATAACAATCTCTATTTCAGTATATCTATCAACCACAAGGAGGACTGATGTGTGGCTAATTTTGTTTCATTTATACACCAGCCACCCACTTTCCCATTATCCTTCTTGAACTGGATTAAAGTAAATTATAATAGTAAATAAAAGTAAGTTATAGATATCATTTCATTTCATTCATAAAATGTTTAGACGTACATTTTAATTGAATCAAATAAAGGAATTTCTTGCCAAAGAGAACTGAGAGAGACAAGAAATGAACCTTTACCCGTGTATGTTTCTGTGATCTTGACTCCTTAATCTGCCTTAGTGCTTTTGGTTCCTGCACACTTTTTTGACCCGAACTGGCCTTTGTAGTGACTTTCGGAGTTTTAGAGCTCTGAACTAGAACAGACGGAGAAGTCACAGATAACGATCTCTCTGCCCGTGGCCTTTTAGATGTCACTGCACGGTGGTGATGATTTGTACTGCCACTCATCTGAGAAAGAAGAGAATCTGAACTTTCAGATTTCACAAGTCTAATGTGGGAAAAAATATAAAAAACACAGATTAAGTGAATCAACAATGCGGTCTATTTTCTGTCCTAAATGTTATAGCTATATCCATTGAAACACAAACCCAAGAAAAGCAAACAAAATTTCTTGCTACTACCGCCTTAAATAAGCTATCAACATCATATTATACAATTGCTCCTTTAGTTCTTCAAATGAGGGACTAAAGCGCAGAAGGCAATGAATGACAAACTAGAATTTCAACTAAATTCAACAGGTAATGATACTGTTGCCCTTCCCATCAATTCACAGTTTCTCACGTAAATCAGCCAGGGAAGGCCTGGTGGTGCTATTCATAGATTAAATACTCACCCGTTGCCCTGGCCAGTTTGGCTCAGCGGTTAGAGCGTCGACCTGCGGTTCCCGCTAAGGGCCCGTACCTCGGTTGCAGTTTGTCCCTGGCTCTGGTCGGTCGTGCGGGTGGCAGCCACTCGATGTGTTCCTTTCACATCGATGTTTCTCTCTCTCTCTCTGTTCCTCTCTCTCCCTCCCACTCTACCTCAACAAAAGATGGGAAAGTGTCCTCGGGTGAGGATAAAAAAAATAAATAAATAAATAATAAATAAATAAATACTCACCCGTTAAGTACTTATACTTTTTCATTAAGATAATTTTGCTGAAGAAACCACAGCGTATACTTTTTTTTTTTTTTTAAATCCTCACCCAAGGACATTTTTCCATTTTTTGTTCAGATAGAGTAGGAGGGAGAGAGAGGAAGAGAGAGAGAAACATCAACGTGAAAGGGACACATCAAGTGGCTGCCACCCGCACGACCAACCAGGGCTGGAGATAAACTGCAACCGAGGTACGTGGCCTTAGTGGGAACCGAACCTGGGTCTCTCTGGACCGTAGGCCGACACTCTAACCACTGAGCCAAACCAGCCAGGGCCACAGTGTATACTTATTGTACAAAATAAGTAAGTGTTAAAACACATACAAATAAATTTGGCTCTTGCTTTAACCTTTCTAAATGTTTAAATTTCCTTGTACAAGACAGGGTCTCTCTGCTAACCATGGGCCACAGTGTACTTCCTTTTCCAAAATATGTCACAAAATACAATATCCTTAATGTTAATGGGCTTGACTTTTATCAGGTGTAAAAAGGACCATGAATTTGTAAAGTCCTCAAGAAAATAGCTTAGTTATTCTATATCAGAGAAACAATATTCTAATATTTTAAATTGTTCAAAAAAGGTTTTGAAAGTTTCACTTTAACATATTTCATGTTTTTTGAAAGGTTTAAACACAGTAAGAATTTTAGACTTGCCTTCGATGCCGAACACCTAAAGTTGACAAAGATGCTAAAGATACATGCATTCATGTCATGTATTGGACAATTTAGCTAGCAAAAAAAGTACCTAAAAAAGTTTCACATAATACATCATTAAATTATGTCAGCTATAAAACTTTATTTATATGAAACAAGTGGTATTTATTTGATTACTTATTTTTTAGAGAGAGAGAAACATCAATTTGTTTTTCCATTTATTTATGCATTAATTGGTTGATTTTTGTATGTGCCCTGACCACCGTGGCGTATTTGGATGACACTCTAACAATTGAGCTACCTGGACAGGACCTGAAACCAGTGCTTTAAAGCGGTGCCCTAGAGCCCCTTTTGAAGGGGCCAATGCAGGCAGAAGCAGAGAGAGGGAACAAAGTCCCCACACACCCTCCTCGCCAGAGCAGCTCAGCGGCTTAATCTATTGCAGATGCTCTCCAGTGCTCCATGGCTTAGAAACTTTACAAGCCATTGTGTTAATGAACTGTGCATTAGCACATAAAGCAAGCAAGTGTGTGTATTTTTCTCAAGTCATTTCTTCTTATAACTTATAAGCAATTCATCCACTGCTCACAATAAAAACAAAATTCCTGGTATGAAGGAATTAATCTATAATCTATGCAGAAAGCAATTTAAAATATGAAAGACTACTATGGGGGAAAAAATCATCCTCAGGACTAAAATACTTTCTGTCAAGATACCATTAGTATGTACTTAATATTGCACCTTCTTTTGGGGTGAAGGCAGTTCAGATCTTTTGATCTCCTTTGCAATCGGGATCCTTCAGCCCAGAGTTCACTCTGTAAAGCTTCTCCGTCTGGGACACTTCCAGGCTCGGACACGACCACAGGCGATGGGAGAGGGCTCAGCACAGCGGGCACTGGAAAACTCTCTCTGGTGCAGGTAGTTTGAGTTTCATAACGAATAAGACGAGACTGAAGTTCAGAAAATCCCCCATCTCTTTCTAAAGATTTTCGGTTGTCTAAGCAGTATCTAAACGAGAGAAAGATCATTCAAGTCAAAGCCTTCACAACAGCAGTGGGCTTTTCCCTGCCAATTAGAAAACAACAAGGCATTTACTTTAAAAGTTCTATTTCACTTCCTAACAATTGTTAGAAGGTTGAGCAAACAGCTAACTTTCCTCCCAAGTTTTTTCTAGCCTGCTAGAGGACATGGCAGAAGATTTAAAAATCTGAATGTGATCTGATTCTTCTTCCACTGTTTCTAGGCAATAGGTTAAATTAATTCTCTGGCTTATTTTTGAAATGATACAGTTGCTGTTTTAATACCTTTTAAATCTCCACCAACCTCTGATTTCTCAGCGTAGCTGATATGTAGCAACATGAAATGCTGACTTCTGCTAGAAAGGGCAAGTGTATTTTCAACACAAAGATTAAAAGCGTATGAAGGCATTCAAACTGGCTCACCAAACAGCTCTGGACATCTGGGAATTTTCCTTTGAAATGTACTTTCCTACCTCATTGACTGATTGACGGACTTTCCCTCAAACACTCGGCTGTCTGCTTCTAGCTAAACCTGACTCGAGGAAGCAGTGGGATGTCAGTTCTGAGTGCTCTGGACTTGAAATCCTATGTTAAGCACAACAACAGGCATGTCAGGAACATCAGCTATGAGATGTGTGACCTTGGACAGCTCTTCTCTCCCCCAGGCTACAGCTGCATCAGGACACACAAGTCATTTAACATCCTGATCATAGGACGAAAACAAAAACCCTTCTGTTATGTCCTCTTCACCAGTAAAATTCCAAGATGCTCCTGAAAATCAGATTGTGTGTCCATAAGTTTTCAGTTCAACTCCCAAGGAATGTAGCACTACCCTAATATCTGATGGAGGTTTTCAGGATTTCTTCTCTCCCTTGTGACATTTTCATATTGCATTTCTAAGAGCACCGACTAGGGAGCCAGACTCACTGGATTTAAATCTGGCTCCACCACTGATTAGCTCTGTGAACTTGGCCGAATAATCTAACTTTCTCTATCCTTCTTGTTGCTCTGTCTGCAGAATGAGATCATAGTGGTCATCTCAAAGAGCCGTGTGAGAATTCTCTGGATGGGCATCAGGAATGGGCACCAGGAAGCACTGCGAATCAGTGCCTGGAACATGCAAGCAGAGCAGTCAGTAGATGTATGCTGCCGCCGCCACTATTGTTATTATTATTATTGTTTTTATTATAGCATTACCATTATTACGTTTCTTTTCTACTACAGCGTATCTTACAACAGGCTGGCAATACCCAGAACAGCTAGGATTACACCCAGATTGATCCTCGGGCCTGACCTGAACCGCTGCAGTACACTATCTCTCGTGGGAAGTGTCAGGATCATCTTCCTCAGAGGTCAGCCCCTGCCTGAAAGTCAGAATCATCTTAAGAATTATAAGATGCATTGACACCTGATCCATATGCCCTGAGTTTCCGATTTAATCAGTCTGGGTGAGACCCAACCATGGACATGTTTTTAAAAGCTGTCTAGGTGATTCTAAAGAAGCTCCCACTCAAATCTGACTAAGGTACATTCAGTACAAATAAAAAGTCCAATTTGTAATCATTGCGTAAAAGGATATACAGCTAAAAATATGAAGTTTTAAAAAAAGGTTAGCTAAATTCAGGTTTACTTGCGAAACATACCTAACTTTTTGATGCCAGAGGGAAAATCATAATCCTCTCAAATAAAAAATTTTCCTCAAATATCAGAAATGAAAAGTTTGAACAAATGGCATTTCTTATCATTTGATGATTCAATAGTTATCTCTCAGTTGCCTGTTGTTAACAATTTAAAATTCTGAACCATTTAGATTTAAGTTAGCATTTCCGATGGGACTTCTTTCAGAAATGATCCATTATGTTGTAGTTCCTATTGCTCACTGAGAAGCCCTCAAATCCAACCGTCTTTTCCACACTCAGATGGAAGTTTCATGACGCACGTTCAATCACATTGTTCCTTGTTATTGCTGAGCAGTAGGGCTTTGATTACATAGCAGTTTATTAATCTCTTCTCCTGGTATACATCAAGGCTGTTTCCAGATGGGCTTACTATGAATAACATTGCTCCTTATGTTCTTGTACAAGTCTTTTTGCAAAGTTATGTTGTCACTTCTCTTAGGCAAATACCTAGTAATGGAATTTCTGAGATACAAGGTCTGAGCATTTTAGTTTTGTAAGAACCTGCCAGATCGTCTTCTGAAGTAGATACATCATTTTATACTCCCACCAATGAATGAGAGTTCTGATTGTGCCATATACTTGCCAATACTTATCAGTCTTTTCAATTTTAGCCATTCTGGTGGCAATACAGATTTTTACCCTATGGATGTTCTACATTTTATTTAACTAAGCTCCTAAAGTTAGACATTATTTGTAACATCTCTTATTCTAAATAACACTGTGAATAATACCCTTGCATAATAATTCTTAGTGTACGTCACTAATTTTTTCATTAAGTTAAATTAAGCAATCAGATGTTACCAACATTTGCAAAATTTCTATGCTACATTTCTTGCTAAGATCACTTCTGATATTTATGGTTTGATTTGCTATGTTAATGGGGTTTTCATTGTGTATAAAATTAGAAGTAGCTGGTTTGAGAAAAACCATGCTTTTAAAAATGTTTTGCAAATTCCCCCACTACTTCTAATAGTCTTTCAGGTCTCTTCTCTACAAAACAAAAAACAAACAAACAAAAACTTTTGGTCTCCTTTTCAACACATGTAACTCTTTTAAACTCTTCAGTTTTCCTTATTTTAATACATTGGCTAGAACACGCAGAACAATTTTTAAAAAGTGGTGACTGCAGGTATCTTTTCTTGCACCTGACTTAAATGAGAGTTTCATTTTGATGCTTGAAAACAAAGTAACTGAAGATTTTGCCTCTAGTGTCAAACATAATTATTCCTTAAGCAAAGTATTACTTAAACGTAGGAAGGAACCTAAACATTCCTAGAATGCTGGGTGGTGAGCATCTGTTTTCAGAGTGCACCGCTATCCACCCAATGTGCTTCAGCTAGAATGCTAAAGAAATTCTCATCCCCTTTCTCATCCCCAACTTCTAACTGCTTTCTCAAGCTTTTAAGTTTGTATTTTCCTTCTTGTTCTCCTTATCTTAATAGTATTTTAGTCTTTCAACATCTGTTCTTAAAATACTTCAGTTTATCAGAGGACAATGAGGTTTCTTTTAATGAAACAAACCCAAGCATCTAATTTCATGCTTTAAAAATAAAGGTTTTTGTACTGTCTCAAAAAGAAAGACCACTTTCCCTGCCATGTCAACAGTGATCTTCATGATTTCATGATGTGGTCTCATTATAATGCAATATACTTATTACTTTTACTAAAAAATGAAACCATTTCCTCTTGCTAAAATCTGAACCTCCATACCTCATTCATCCCCCAGTTACTCCCTTTTTGCCAGGTAAACGCCTAGTCATTCCTTCAAACTTAGTTCAGACTTCCTCTCTGAAATTCTCTCCAATCGCCCTTGGCGCTAATTTGCTCCACCCACCAGGCCATTATCTATCTGCATCTATACTCTACTAACAGCGTGTGTAGCAAGTTAACAGGCCAATCAAAAGAGCGTGTTTCTGTTATTCACTGATAAACTTAAAGGATGTTTCTTAAAGATTAAGGTAAAATCAAGCCCTTTTTTTCTATTTTAATTTATGAAAAAATGTGTTGCTTTAAGAATGTGCAATATTTTACAAAATGAATCACTAAGGTCTTGAAAATTTGTTGTAAAACATATTAATTATCACCATCTTCTCCTTATGAAAATGGTAGGTGTGCCCATGCCCTTGGAAACTGCTAATATCTTTAAGCAAGAGAATCTTTTGAAATTTTATTCAAACCGGTCCAATAAAATTCTACAAAAATGCACACATAATGAACATGTTACAAATGGGAACACATTTCATCTAATGGTGTCTGAGGAATTATAGCGTACTTAGTGACCAGGGGATACTAAATACATCTATAACACAGGAACCAAAATGACTCTAATTTAAATATCTAGTAACTAATAATAGGATGTTTAAATGCTACAAAACTATAAAATTTTTCATAATAGAAGAAATTATCTGCGTACATACTGCTTTGTTTTTTGACATACTCTACATCTCAATTTATATCATATTATACTCACTCTCAAACCTCATGTAAGATAAGCTACATCAACAACACGCAGAAGAGTTAAGAGTGAATAAAAAACTTACTCTATTCCATGATAATGACATACTGAGGCTTTTTCAAAAGGTAAAACTCGAAGTTTCCGAGGACTAAGTTCTGGTGTCAGAACAAAAGTCTTTTCCCTGGAACAAAAAGTTTTTCATTTGTATTTACAGTTTATTTAGTGACAGAGAAAAAGTTCCAGAAAGTGTCTAGATAAAGAAATCTGATTTCCCTCAGTACGACTAAATCTTACGCGGGATAAAAATTAAGTGACATCAGCCTGGTCTTTGTGGCTCAGTGGGTTGGGCATTGTCTCGGGCACCAGTTCGATTCCTGATCAGGACACATGTCTGGGTTGCAGGCTCAATCCCAGGAGTGGGCAGGAGGCAGCCCATTGACATTTCTATCTCACATGGATGTTTCTTTCTCTCTCTTCCTCTCTCTCGAAAATATCAATAAAAACATATTTTAAAAAAATTAAGTTACATCAGAAAGGATAATAAAAAAAAGAAGGTGTACAGGCTGGTGGATTTTGCCTCTTACATTTTCTGTGCCTCAAGTTCCTGAAATTGTAATGTCACTTATTTTTCAAAACTATTCTAAGAAATGGGTAAATCAAGAATGGAAAATGGTTTGTAGTGGAAATTCAAGAAGCAGCATTATTCTGGAAGGATTTTTTATTTTTCTTGATGTAGTAAACTAACATTTATGCATTTAGTTAAACTTTTTTTGCAGAGTAATAATTAAAGTCAACTTGAAGTGCTTACAGCTCTTTTTGAATTTGTCTAGTAGGTCTTCTGGTTCAGGGCCAGAAGGTCCTAAAAAAATAAATAAAGTCAACTTGAACCTCTGGTAACAAAGGGTGCATTCAGCTCCTACTGTAACACATGGAGGGCCACGTCTTTCTTCACCTGGAAATGCAGTCATCCTGACATCTACTTTAAAAGCCTGCAACCTTTTACATATTAGAGGGTATTAGAGACTAAATGCTGACTTCAGTTCTTCTGAGGTAGGTGTCTATCAGCAGTAATGTTGAAACTAATCCATGGTAAGCTTACATAACAATTACGTGTTTTATCCCTTTCCATACTTAGACCAGCAGGGGCATTATCAAAATCTCAGGAAGAAGGTCACTGCAGTTAGGTTAAGCTCTCCTGGTAATTCTAATAGGTGGCCGCCTTCTCTGCCTAAGTGGGGAGGCACTGTTCCAACGAACTGGATCGTGTTCCTGAACCCAGACAGGTTGGATGGGAGCGGGAGAATTACGCTCCAGTGACCTTTCCATAGTAATGAGAGTGAAAGACCAGGGCTTGCATCAGATCTGGAGTTGGTACCGAGAAAGGCAGGGAAATAGGAGAACACAATAAATGTTCATCACATTTCCCCCTATGGCATTAGTAATGAAACTGCCCATTTGCCACTGAAAATTACCTTGGATAATATGATATGCATTTAAAATTATTACAATAAAATGTAAGACATATGCTCATTAATAAAATCTAAAGAACAGAATTTATATTCTAATACATCCACACCGGAAGTGTTCCACAAAAAGTAACACTAATATATTGCAATGACTCCAGTATTTTCATGACTGACTACAAAAGTGAAGTTTTGTAAGTTAGAAGTCTTTAGGTACTTGGCATTTTACTTCTTTCCTTTACCATGTTGATTCCATTTCTTATGTCAAACTCTCTTAGCAACTTTATCTATTTTTGTTTAGTTTTACTCATACCTTGTTCTTTCTATAAAAAACATTTTATTTTTCAAAAAAATGTTTTTATTGATTTTTTTAGAGAGGAAGGCAGAGAGAGATAGAAACATCGATGTGAGAGGGAAACATCAATTGGCTGCCTCCTGCACGCCCCCTACTGGGGATCGAGCCTGCAACCCAGGCATGTGCCCTGACTGGAATTCGAACCAGGCCCTCTCAGTCCATGGAATAACACTCAATCCACTGAGCCACACCAGTTGGGCTAAAAGAAACATTTTAATAAATATGTATTTTGTCAATGCTTAGTATTTCTTTGGTATGTACATAGGAGTTACGCCTAAACTTTGTTTAATTTACTATAGCATTTTGAATGGTTCCTGGCATGGGTAGGCATTTAATAACAGTCCACATGTTCTTAATTCATTGCCATGAAAGCTCACCCCTCAACCTTAACCTTAATAGAAAATATATTTGATAATGATGCAGTTCTTTATTAACATCAAGGAACCATATCAAACGTCCCTAAATAAGTTACTTGTAAAGTACAGAAAGAATGAAATATATCACCCCTAGGGATCCTGAAAGACACCAGCCATGAAGAGAAACAACCCACATGACTGAGCTCCTGCTTCGTGATCTAGAAGGATAATAATCCAAAACTAGATGAAAATGTGCATATACTTCTTCACTTTCTTGATTCCCACCAAAAAGGGTATCACTCTCACAATGCTAGGAGAAAAGGAAAATGACTCTAAAATTACAGTTTTTGTCATTAAGGTCATTAAGTCATTATGGCCCAGAGTCAAGACGCTCAGTTTTCAAAGTTGCTCCCTCTCTCTCTAGTAAACAAGCACGTGAAGGCAATGAGCTCTATCATAATTTTTGAGAGATAACTACCTCCAAGTAGATCCTTTCCAAATTTACCTTTAAAATCAGTACTTGCCAAAATAAACCTTTGTAAAAATGATCGAAATCATCTATAATCTTTAAGGTCCTCTGGAAGGGTTTCCAAAATAATGGATTAACAATAAAAAAGAAATTGGGATCATGAACAAATTATTCAAATCTCACAAGTATTTGATGTCATGATTTTACCTGTAATCTGTCAACTGCAGAGGCATCATTTTTATTAACTAGTAACTCAGTAGAAGTTGTCTCGGAAGTCAAATTAGCTATCACTTACTCATCCACATAGACACCAAATTCTTAGTAATGTTGTAGTTTTAATCACATTTTCCTATTTTCTTCAGCGGAAAGACTTTTTGCTATGATTAGGCATGACTGACAATGTCAGGACAAGTACACAGCAGCAAAACCAAAACTCGAGAGTAACACAGAAAAAAGAACTAGATATATGTATTTGCAAGTCAAATTATAATTTTTCCTTAAAAAGTACCATCATATGTGTACAAAGGAGAAGTACTGGCTTTTATTATTTCTGTTTCCCTTATATTCAGAACCAGAAAACACTGGGACACCTGGTGAAATGTGAGGGTAGGGTCGACTGCTAAGCACTGGAATCAACTTGTGAATTTGCTTAAGTGGCAGAGGGCGTCAGTGAACTGGGGAAATGAGATTCTATGTGTTTTTTAAATTATTTTTAAAAATTAATTGGAAATTATAAGTTTATAACTTACCCCTTTTGAATCTGTAAAGGCTGAAGATCTCCAACAGGTAATCCATCGGAGGTAAAGAATTTCAGCAATTCCTTAGCATCCAATAACGTGATTGAATCCCGGGCACCCTCTTTGTGGCCCAGCAGCTGTTCAGATGAACGAGGTAATGGACCAGCTCTGGAAAAGAATGTCAAGTAGATTTATTAAAAGTGGGTTACAATTCCTCATAGTCAGGAAAAGATGACATGAGTAGAAACCAGAAAAATACACAAAGAAAACTGAAGAACTACATACACATTTAGGAAGAAAATAAAGTAAAATCTTTGTAAATCATTTAGTATCAAAGTATATTTTTAAAAACCCTGCAGCTCACAGTGAAACTCACGGTTACTGTATCAAGAATGCTACTACTTAACTAAAACCATTCTATTCTTTATAATGACTGCGTGATTATTTAGTAGTGTGAAGTTGTCAAATCCAAAAAATTTAAATCGAAACTCTCTTGAGTGTTCTGAAATCCCACACTGTTGGAAATGTTAAGGGCAGGAACTGAATGTTCTAATTTTCTACGAACTTGAAAGATTACCTGAAGCACAACCATGAAATGAGGCAGCAACCAGAAATCTCTCCAAGGTCCCTTCTAACCATGATTACAACACCGTGAATAAGCAATGAATCACTAGTACACCTGACATATGCAGGAATGTATACTTTTCAAACTATTGTACACAAATTTCCTCGAAAAAGACAGAATAGGTCTTACTTCAAAATCAAGTTAGTACCTGAAAATAAGTCCTTTGTAAAGTGGAAATCAGCATACCAAGCCTTAAAAAACAATCCTAGTCCTATTGCTCAGATGAAAATACTAATGCACACTGGTTTGCTTTACAGACGCCAGGTGACACAGCTATTTGAAATGACAATCAGAAGCAAACAGACTCTGAATTAGGTACTATTTCTACTCTATCACTCTATAAATCTAAAAAGCTCTTAGGAAGTTTTAAGAAGTGGAGAGAGAAAAACACTTTAGTTTCAGAAAATTTTAAAGGTTATATCAAGTACTCACTCAGTCACAGACCATGCTACAGCTTTGTGACCAAAATATAAATAAAATTTTTCAGTACTGGCACAGAAAATTAATTTCCTGATTCCATATTAATTTAACTATTTCCTGATTATTTTACTACTCAAATCAAGCATTTGCACTGATAATTCCATGATTAAAATGACGACATTGTGGGTTAGGACTTCCGTTTCTATACACTAAAGATCAATAATGTACCACAGTGCTCCTTCCCCCTTCCCATTCCCTTTATTTTTACACTGAAAATACACATTTAGTAAAAACAGACAAGAAAAAACCCAAATACGTTCTATGAACTTTATACTCCAGGAGGTCAAGAACTGCATTGTGAGTTGAATTTAATTTCTATATCACTATTCTCTAATAGTAATTCACAAAGGTTTCCTAATGAAAATTACTCTCAATCATTTTACAGGCTGGAAGAAATGGAAAAGTATAATTTGCATTTATATAGGATCCTAGACACAAGGATATTAAAGCAATTTGAAAGCCCATTTGTGACAAATTATGCTACCAAATACGTCTTGGGTTAAAAAAAAGAAACAAACACCAAAACACTGACAACACTTGGTTCTGTTCAGTTTCCAAACGTCAGCTCGTTCAGTCGCACAGCCTGAAGGAGATCTGGTGCTGTCACCCCACCTTAAAGATGAGGCCATGGAGTCACACAGGTGACTAAGTTTGTCTAAAACCAAGTTCTCGTGGCTTCTGAATTTCACCACCTGTTGGTCCTTTATTCTCCAGTTAAACCTGTTTTAACACAAAACAAATGCTGAAAATATGCAACATAACTTTTGTCCACAACCAGGAATTCAACGGATCTCCCATGTTTTGAAGTGTCCACAAGTATTGACTGAGCAATCACACTGTCCATCTCATTGTGAGGCACTCCAAAGAGGTCAGTGATGATAACTCAGAGACTCACAATCACTTCTTGTGACTTATATACAGACTGGCTTGAAGAGAAAGAAGAGGAGGAGAGTGAAAGGAGGTAAACACCAACGTACAACGAAGCAGAAAAGGTACAGGAAGTAAGTTTCAAGAAAGAATGACGCAGTTCTCGGATGCTTAACGGAGGAAGAGAACAAGCTGCAGCATTTAAAAAAGGCTTACAAGGAAGGTGATATTTGATCTAGACTCTGAATGGCAAATAAGCTTTTAGTTCAAGATGATGGATTAAACATACACATTAATCTCTTTGCTCAACAAACCGAATCACAATGTTGAAGTACCAAACACTAAATTCATAATAGGGTTAAGCAAAGACAGAAGGAAAAAACAGTAGACCAAATAACTCAATAAATTTCAAAATTTATACACTAGAGCAAGAACTTCAAGGAAAACGAGAGAGAAACGGACAAACAAGTAGAATCTGTCTTCTCTGTCCCCTCCCACAAAGCCACTGCGACTCTAAACTTGGGTTCACAGCGTGGCAGTGGGCAGAAATCAGACGATATATTTTAAAAATGCTACTAGAACAGTTGTTCAAATACCACCCTCGCACACCATACCTTACCTCCAAATTAAAGACAGAGAAATGCTCTGGAGACCCAGAACTAGGTGCCTGCCCCAGCGTCAGCGGTGACGTCCCCAGAATAACCCCCCCCAGAATAAACCCCCCTCAGTACTGGTGAAGACCAAGGCTGCCTGCCCAGGTGTCCTAAAGTGAAGTTTGCCAGGCACGCTCTACCCTGCACCTCCCTGTCCCCACAGTATTAAATCGGGCGACACCAGGGTGTGAACAGGACTACACAAATATAGAGGAAGGACATACCAACTACCTAGTAGAGTGGCCAGTACCAAATTCTTAGCTGTGAACAGAAACAAACCACCAGACCTTGGAGAAAAACTACACATAACAGAAAAACACCAAAGGAAAAAAAAATCAGATCCAAAGAATAAAGAGATCATTCAGCAAACAGATAAAACAAGTTAAAAGACTCTAATATCCTTATAGTATCTTCTCAGTCCTCATTATCAATAAAAGAACAGGTTGCTAAGGGAAAAATAGGGTAGAGAACAAACAAGAATTATTAAGAATTTAAAATATGACTACAAAAAGTTTTAACAGAAAAAATGAAAACAAAGGTCAAGGAAATATCCTAGAACATAGAGTAGATGAAGGTACGGATTATTGAGAGAAAATTAAATTAAGATGAAAAATCAATTCAGGATGTCTAGCATTAGTTACAAGAGATATTTCAGAGAGATAAGGAAAAGAAAAAGAGAAAATGGGAGGGAGAATATTCTGTAAGAAATAACAAAAGAATATTATCCAGAGCCAAAAAACACACAAAAGCCTTAAGACTAAAACATCTCATTCTATGATCGTCTCGTGTAATTTCAGAATATTAAGCAAAATAGAAAATTCTAAATGTTCCAGAGACAGAAAAAAACATCTATTAAAGAACGAAAATTGAACTGGCCTCAGATTTCTCATTAAGTAATGAGATCCAAGAAAAAACAGGCTTGCCCTGGCCTGATTGGCTCAGCGGTTAGAGTGTGGGCCTGCGGTCCTGAGAGACCCGGGTTCGGTTCCCGCTAAGGGCATGTACCTCGGTTGCAGTTTGTCCCCGGCCCTGGTCGGTTGTGCGGGTGGCAGCCACTCGATGTGTTCCTTTCACATCGATGTTTCTCTCTCTCTCTCTCTGTTCCTCTCTCTCACTCCCACTCTACCTGAACAAAAAATGGAAAAATGTCCTCGGGTGAGGATAAAAAAGAAAAAACAGGCTTAATTTAGAAATGTGACCAAAAGAAATACCAGGATAACAGTTGTACAGGTAGAAAGGGTAAGTCCAAGTTAGAGCTGGTACAAGAAAATGACTTCAGGAAGAAATATAACTGTCTACTTCAAATAACATAAGGTTCTGAGGTAGAACGATTAAACATGAAGAGAAAAACATGTTTTTCACAACGGAAAGTTAAAGCTGGGATACCATCTAAAATTGACAAGAAATCAAAGTTCTTTTGTGGGTAAACTGTCCTTTTCTCCATTTGTTTTCAAGATTGAATTCTCCCTCCTGATCTATACACATCAGGATTCTCAGGGAATAATCTTAAGCCCTCTTTTCTTTCTCTGTATGGTCTCACCAAGTGATCTCATCCACTAGCATGTATTTATAACTCCCTTTTGATCATACCTCCAAACTGACTTCCAGATTTCTCCTCTAGTCCACCTGCATAATCCACTGAGCAAACTTAGCACTCCTAAAGCAGAACTCGTTTTTTTTCCCCGAAGCTATCCTTACACCACCTTCCCACCAACCTCCCCATCCCATAAGAGAGAACGCCACTCACTTTGTTGCTCAATCCAGAGACAGAAATTATTTTGGATGCCTTTGTTTCTCTCTCCTCCACATCCAATCCATCTCGGAAAGTCTTTTTTCAACTTACCACCAAAACATATCCCAAATTTGTTATCCACAACTACTTGAGTGAGAAATCAGTTATCTCTCACTTAGCCTACAGAAATGCAACCTAACTGATCTCTCTACTCCCAATATTTCTTCCTGTAATCTATTTGCCACAAAACAGCAAAAGTAATTTTGCAAAATCAGATCGCATCAGTCTTTGGTATAAAAGCCTTCAAAAGCATATAGATGCATTGACAATGAAATCCAAACTCTGTGTGATCTATAATGCACGTCACTCTTTTATCCATTAGGTCTCAGCTCAAATGGAACCTCCTTGAAGAGCTGTCCCTGACCATCCAACCTCATCTAATCACCACCTTTTCCCTCCCCTCAACAAATAAAATTATTCTCCCCTAGTCCCTTTGTTTCCTTTACTCATTACACATAGAACAATTAGTTGGTACCCAACAAATACCCGTTGACATATATAAACAAAATGCTATAGCCAGTCATGTCTGTTACCAACAGGAGGGCTAAAAATAAAAATGTAATTTGCAATACTTTGGAAGAAAGCAATGTAAGAGAGTTAAATCCTTTATTTCTTATTCTGTTACTCCATCACTCAACGATTCTGTATTGGGTGTCTACAATGTACTAACCAAAAAACCAAAACCCAAACAAAACAAACAAAAAAGGAGTTCTGCCTCTCAGAGTTAGTTAGATAAGTCCTGCATAAACACAGAAGCATGTAAAGCAGAAGTTTAAAGTGGCCCAAAGGAGAAGAATACTCTTACTTCATTTCACATGCTCCAGTATCGTTTGAATTTTTCATACACATTCAAATACTCATGTATCTATGGAAGATACCCTGACGAGCCATTCACTGAAGTGTTCACTGTGATCATGTACACAGCAAAGTGCGAGCAGAAGGCAGGGGAAGAATCTTTTCTTGATGTACTGCTCTGTGATATCCTATCTGTCTATCTATCTGTCTGTCTCTCTATCTATCTATCTATCTATCTATCTATCTATCTTCTACCTACTTACCTACCTACTTAAAATAGTTGAGCATATATTTCTTTAAAAAAAAACTATCTATCTATCTATCTATCTATCTATCTATCTATCTTCTACCTACTTACCTACCTACTTAAAATAGTTGAGCATATATTTCTTTAAAAAAAAAAACAAACTAGTATCTCAGCCCTGGCTGGGTGGCAGAGTAGGCTGGAGTGTCATCCCATACACCAAAAGGTTGTGGGTCCGATTCCCAGTCAGAGCACACACCGAGGCTGTGCCGTTGATCCCACTCAGAGTGTGTAAGGGAGGCAAGCGATCCATGTTTCTCTCTCACATCCATGTTTCTCTCTCTCCTTTCCTCTCTCTCAAATCAGTAAAAACACATCCTCGGGTGAGGATAAAAAGATCCCAAAAAACTAATATCTTATAAACACAATGTAAGAAATAAGAAAGTTCACTTAAAAATACCAAGCTATTTAAATATTACCTCATTTTTTGTTTAGCTTTTTCAAATGTTTCCAAATTCTGAAGAGCGTGCCTTTCTGGCCATTCCAGAGGATTGGTTTCCACCAGACTTGAACAAGTAGGTTCCAGTGGACTTGTGTCTCAAGAGAAAGAAACACGTGTAAGCACTGGAAAGTATCAATGAAGCGACATAATGAAACCAACTTTACCACGGGCTGATGGATATAAATGAGTTAAGTTTCTATGGCATCTCATCAACGTTCTAACGAAATGACGCTGAATGAAACGACGTCACTGGAGGACTTGCTGTACTTGCGTAGACAAATATATGTCATTATTTAAATGTATAAGATTTTAATTCAAAGAACATATTTTATTAGTTTTAATAATAAATAGTAACTGTCATAAACACTACACACACACAAAAACTAATATTTAAAGTAACAAAAAACTTACCAATTAACATATTGGAGGTATTGACTTTGTCTGTTTTTCTTAGAGTTGCTTTAGGAATAACAGCATCAAAATGACTTAAAAAGCGCTCCCTTGAGAGTGCTAACAGACTTTTGAGTTCATCAACAGAAACCACTTCAGGTTGCTCAGCCAACTTTCTCCTTCCTGTAAAAAAACATCAATAGGATTAACTTATATCACTATTACTTTAAATTCTCTCTGAAGTGCATCTACTACTCATTTAACGGGAAATGTTTTACAAACTGAAACAAGTGAATTTATCCAGCACAGCAACATTCCTGTGTAGGCCTGCTTTCATTTTAATCCCATTTGCAGATAATGGTGGAATTTCGAGTTATTTGAGAGAAACAGAGACAGTAATTTGTTAACAATGAAAGGTGATAAATGATAAAGCAAGTTTACAAAAGCTTGCAAAAATATCTTGCAGAGTCTTGCGCTGGCGTTTTTGTAAAAATAAAACCTGTAAGACTTTAGTGAAACAAGTTACATGAAACAAGTTAAATGTGGTATCTTGGCCAATGACTCTTATTCCTTCTCTTTCCCAAAACCTAAAAGCACAGTAAAGGAATAAAAGACAACAAAAGAAAAATGAGAAAGAACGACAGTTTTCATCATATCTTAGCAGAGAAGGTGGCGGAGTGGGCAAAGCGGAAGGGTGGGCGTGGTGCCTGCAGAGGCTAGCCCCTGAGGTGCTGGGGGTGCTGGCGAGGTCCTGGGCTAAAACAGGACTGGTACAGGAATGGATGGGGATGGTGCAGTGAGAACTAAATGTCCCCACCCACTCCATTCTCTAGCCCTCATAGCCAGATGATTCTGCTCTCATATTTTTTTCGGTAGCAAACATAACAATATTTTGCCTGTACAGAAGAATAGGCAAATTAAAAATGCAGTGATCATCAACCAAAAGCAAAACAAAGGTTATGCAAGAAAGAAGAGCTGATCATCATCATATATGACATGATTTAGCAGCAAACTTCTAAACAGTCATAATAATGTTAAACATAACCATTGACTAAACCAAAATTTGTGACTTCACTGTGAAGGGTGGGAAGATAAAATGAAGCTATATGGGAATGCTAAGTCTCTATCTTAGATGTTACGACGACGCCTGAAATTGGTAAATCAAGAAATAGCAGCCTATACATATTGTTTAGAAAACTGGAGGCAATGTCAGAAAAACTAGCTGGAAGGGCTGAGGGAAGCTGCCCGTGGCCGAGACTGACAGGCGGGGTGGGAGTAGGGCAGGACACTGCTGTCTTCCAGGTCCATGTGAATTTTTAAACGACACCCATGTATTACTTTATAAAAAGATTTCATTTTCAAAACTCTTCTGGACTAATAATATTTTCTCCTATAATAAACAGTAAAGTATACATTCATAGAGAATTCAATTCAACAAACATTATTTACTGCCTGCAAAGCACTGTGCGGTGCCCTTAGGCACAAAGTATGAAAGCACATTCATCACTCTAGGCGAGGTCGGTACATAAATAACACAGGGAATAGGCTGAGCAGGTAGTGGCCAGACTGTGGTTCTACTTTAGCCCATCAGCTTTATGAGAAATGCCTCTGTGCAATCCCACCTCCCTGATGTGGGTATTGGGAGGGTCACTCCAGTTCTCATCTAAGTCTCACATGGTTTCTGCAGTCAAGAACACCAGCAATGGTAAAGGAAGAGTAGTAACATATCCTGCTTTCATTACATCTTCTTGGTGAGAAAATAAAAAGCTGCTGGGAGCCATTTGAAAACAAAAGTTATCAATGATTTCCTTTCATCTGAAAGACGTACAAGTACTCTGCTTTGGAAGTTAGGCCCACATTTTTTTTTTTTTTTTATCCTCACCCGAGAACATTTTTCCATTTTTTACTCAGATAGAGCGGGAAGGAGAGAGAGGAAGAGAGAGAAACATCGATGTGAAAGGGACACATCGAGTGGCCACCACCCACACGACCCAACCAGGGCCGGGGACAAACTGCAGCCAAGGTACATGACCTTAGCGGGAACCGAACCCGGGTCTCTGTGGACCGCAGGCTGACACTCTAACCGCTGAGCCAAACCGGCCAGGGCAGCCCCACCTTTATATCACTTTTAAAAACATGTATAAATCATAAGCCTGACCTATGCTTATTAAAACTGTCAATAATATATATATTGGGCAAACTAGAGAGCAGGGTAAGACCTCCTGTTGATCTTGATGACTGGGCAATAGAGAAAGTAGATGAAGTCTAACAGGGTTATGAGCAAGATAATTTACCTAGGTAAAAATAATCTCTACACAAATGAGTCTGCACACAAGAGGCAGATAAAAACGTGGGAGAAATATAATGGACTACAATCAAAAAATAAATGAGCAAAAGAATGCTATTCCTAAAAAAGCTGGTAACAACTAAGAATGTATTAAAGCCCAGCCGGTGTGGCTTAGTGGTTGAACGTCGACCCATGCACCAAGAGGTCGCCAGTTTGATTCCTGGTCAGGGCACATGCCCAGGTTGTGGGCCAAATCCCCAGTGGGGGGCACAAAGGAGGTAGCCAATCAATGTTTTCTCTCATCGATGTTTCTCTCTCTCTCTTCCCCTCCCTTCCTCTCTCTCTCTCAAATCAATAAAGAAAAAAAATTTACTACAGAAAAATACAGAGGGGAATATCTGAAGGATCAGCAGCTGAGCATCAGTCAGGTTTGCAGCACTGGGTCCCATCACTGTTAAAGGAATGTGGAGAGCTCAGAGTAGTGATCACAGCAGAGGACCAGAATGACTGCACTGCTGTTTGGGTCGTTTTGCATTATACTAAGCAACCTTTTATTTCAAAATTGTCCAGCATCCTTAAACTTTTTCTTTAAAAATCAGTGAAACAACTGCATATGTCCAAATATAAAATTTAGAAATTAGTAAAAATCAGGTAAAAGCCAAATTATAAAATTACAAACTTTAAATATCATTCTAAAAAACAGTATTTGATAAAACTTTTAAAAATAAAAAATAAAAATGAAGAAAAATATTCTAAAATATTCAACCCTAACAACATTATTTGATTTTCAGGTTGTCTTAAAAAACAAAGGGCCTCAATAATGTGAGTACATTTTCATGCAATCTTTCCCAGTTGCTCTTTTTGGTTTAGTACTAGTCAGAGGAAAGAGGAGGGGAGATAAGAAGTTTACTCCATGTCTTAATCATTTTGAAAAACCTTTTGGAACAACTTTTTGCTTTTCATCAAAGACTACAATCTTTGTGTTGCTTCCGAAAATTTTCTTTCCAAAGAAAGCTGGGCCCATTCCATTAGCGAGTTTTCGTCATGTATAAATTAATTAACAACATCAACTTAAGTACTTTTATATTCATGTTCCACTTCTTTGAGAATCACTGAAACAGACATTGAGAATCACTGAAAGTTTCTTATATTGGAAACTTTGTTCTGCAGTCGTTTTCCTGTCTTTTGAGACACAGAAATTCTGAACAGAGGCATCTTTGTCCCTAAATTTTTAATCCAGTGTTAACTCTCGAGACAGGGAAGAGATTGGTTCAGTAAGCATTTCTATCATAAATGGATTAACAGTCATTAATCTTAATAAAGATTTCATGCTTCAGATTACAAATGGGCCATTTCAGGGATGTGTCCAGAGCCGGTTTCTCTAGCAGCTCCCAGCTAGGAGGCTTCCTCTCAGCTTCAGGCCCCCAGGGACCTGCCCTCACCCTCCGCCTGGAGCTGAGGCATCCTTACAGCTGCTGCCTGTCCTCCAGCTCAGCTCAGCGGGCGCTTCTACATTTTCAGCATTTGTTTATCACTTACGTCCCTGCCCCCACCCGCTCCCACCCTACCCCAGAGCTTCCAGTCACACTTGCAGGCAGCTATGCACTCCAACAGTTAGTATTTGCCTTCCTAACCATGTAGGAGGGATAGTCCTGCTGGGGTTAACTCTTCTTACTGATGGAGCAATGCACCAGCTTCAAAGAGGTGCCTGTCCTTCCACTCTGACAGTGTTTCTGGTCTGCAGGGAAGGGGGAGAGGGGAAGATGAAAGAGGGGAGACACTGAAGGAACTGAGTGTAAAAAGCTACAGGAGGCTATGGCAAGGAATCGGCCTGCAGAGGGGTTCGGCAGGGACAGAACCAAGTCAAGAAGTGAAGAACACTGCAGGCTGATGTTTGAAATAAAGGTTTTCCATCCACAGATATGCTAGTATTTCAGTCTGTTTTTTGTCTTGGATTTAATATATACTACTTTTTATTGAAACCGATTCGTCTTTTTAATTATATTTTCCTTGAGTTAATATCATTTTCTTGGCTAAAAAAAAAAAAAAATCAATGGTTGGAAGAGTTCAACTACACAATTATCCTGGCTTTGTACAACTGAAAAAGCAGGTAATTCTTTTTTTTTTTTTTTTTTTATCCTCACCCGAGGACATTTTTCCATTTTTTGTACAGATAGAGTGGGAGGGAGAGAGAGAAAGGGAGAGAGAGAGAGAAACATCGACGTGAAGGGACACATCGAGTGGCTGCCACCCGCACGACCAACCAGGGTCAGGGACAAACTGCAACCGAAGTACGTGCCCCTAGCAGGAACCGAACCCGGGTCTCTCCGGACCGCAGGCCGACGCTCCAACCGCTGAGCCAAACTGGCCAGGGCAAAAGCAGGTAATTCTTACATGAATAGCCGAGACCAAGTATTCTAAAATTATTTTTCATTGGATAAAACAGGTTACTTAATTCAAGATTTTTTAAACTGCTTTCAAAAATGACAGATTCTGCCCTGGCCAGTTTGGCTCAGCGGTTAGAGCGTCAGCCTGCGGTCCGGAGAGACCCGGGTTCGATTCCCGCTAAGGGCACGTACTTTGGTTGCAGTTTGTCCCCGGCCTTGGTTGGTCGTGCGGGTGGCAGCCACTCGATGTGTCCCTTCACGTCGATGTTTCTCTCTCTCTCTCCCTTTCTCTCCCTCCCTCCCACTCTATCTGTACAAAAAAATGGAAAAAATATCCTCGGGTGAGGATTAAAAAAAAAAAATAAATAAAAAAAAAAATGATAGATTCTATTTTATATCTACTTGTTTTTTCAAATGTATCTTTTTTATTAAAAGTATTATAGATGTTCCCCCTTTTTCCTCCCATTGACCCCCTCCTCCTCGCTCCTGCCCCTCCCCACCTTCACCACACTATTGTCTCTGTCCATTGGTTATGCATGTATATATGTATATTCTTTGGTTTATCTCTTCCCGCCCCCCACGCCCCACTGAGGTTTGTCCGTCTGCTCTCTGCTTCCATGTCTCTGGATCTATTTTGTTCATCAGTTGTTCATTAGATTCCTCATATAGGTGAGATCATGTGATACTTGTCTTTCTATGACTGGCTTATTTCACTTAGCATAATATTCTCCAGGTCCCTCCATGCTGTCTCAAAGTGTAAGAGATCCTTCTTTTTCACAGCTGCATAGTATTCCACTGTGTATATCATTTTTTCCTATATGTAAATGATGAGGCCTTACAATTTGATTTAATTTCTCAGAAACTCTGTCAACTACTTCACTTCAAATAAGTTCATATCAGGTTCTAATTAATGGTTATTTACAATATAAAATATTAAGAATGATAACCAAATTCACATTAAGTAACAGAGAAAATCCTTAAACTATGATCCTTGAAAAGGTATTAATTTCTTGAAAAAAAAAATTTATAATGCCAACGTCATCCAGTATGTGATATATGCTTAGTTAATATTGGTAGTTGTGATTAAAGTCTAAGAATCAATTCTCAAGTTAACATATTAACTTCTCAGAACTTGCATTTTCTTCACAGTCTCTATCCTCTTATGATAGCTAAAAATATATAAAGAGATATTTTTATAAGAGATCTATATTAACCTGAATAAAAGTTAAGTATGTTTTCCAGCATACAGTTAAAAATGATAAAGTATGAAATTTTCCTGGATAAATATTTCTGTAAATGTTAACAGTGATGTACAAATAAATAGGAATATTTTCAATCTGGCTGGAAAAAGTTACAGACTTTTTCTACTCTACAATAAAAAGAATAGCTCTACAAATGAATGCCATACCTAAAAGACAAAGTACACAGGAAAAAGTGTGCAAATAACAATAGTATGTCTGAACAAGTCAACATTCTTACAGTGGAATAAAATGTACAAATTGTTACTTACTCAGATATTCTTGCAAAGCCAGAGCTTGAACATTAGCTAACTGCTTCTCTCTCTGTATAAGTTCCTCCCCAGAAAAATGTGGAAGTGACAGGAAGTCAAAAGGAAAGCCTGAGACAGAGAAAATAGTATTACGGATATTCTGTGACAACAATTAATATTCAGCTCCCAGCTATGTTATTATATAATTTGAAAAGTAAAAGTCACTCATCTCTCTTGATCTGCATATCCAAACTAAATAATAATTAAGCTGCAAAAAACCCCATACTAAATTGTTGTGCATTTTGAACTCTGACTTGTTTCTTAAACTGAGGGAATTTAAGTAGCAGAGTAGAATTGCTTCATCATATTTTCTTGTATGGGCTCAGCCATTAAAACTCCTACACAGAAGGGGGTGGGGAAAGGATGCAAGGAGTCAAGGGGGTCAAATATATAGTGATGGAAGGAGACTAGACTTTGGCGGTGAGCACACAATGAAGTATACAGATGTTGCATGATAAAGTTGTACACCTGAAACTTACATAATGTTATTAACCAATGTACCCCAATACATTTAATTAAGATTAAAAAATGATAATTAAAAAATAAGCTCCTACGAAAAAAACACAGATGGAGTAGGGCGATGCCCCTCAATGGACCACTGGTCCTGCTTTTCACCCACTGTGTGGTCCTTCCATGATGAATCCTGGCTGGCCCTATTAAACCCATAAAGTGTGGCAAAAGTGACAGTGAATGTCCTCTAGGCTAGGTCACAGAAAGCCTGGAGGATTCTTAGAACAACTGCTCTCTAAGAGAAGTTGGTGACCATACAAGAAATCAGACTGCCTGTGACTATGATGTTGAGGTAGCCCAAGCGGGCCATGAGGAGAGGACACATGAAGAGAAAGTCAGCTCTCATCTGCTCCAGCCATCCTAACCAGGTCCAAACGTGAGGGTGAAGAAGCCACGTTACACACCCAGCCCTGTTACGTCTCCAAATGACTGGAGTCCCAGCTGTGTGTCTGCAATCATACACGAGACTTCAATGCAGAAACATCCAGCTGAGTCCAGTCAACAGGACCATGAGACATAATAAATAGCCATTTTTAATCTAAATTTGGGGTGATTTATCTCACAATAAAGATAACCAAAACATACAGCTTGAAGAGGAAAGAAAAGGTGAGCAATAAAACAGAGTAAGATGCTTAAGAGAAAGTAAATGTAAACAAAAAATTATAGAAAAATATTGTGTGTTTAAAGTGGAATATACCAAAAATTTCCTATTTGGAATTGAGGGCTGACCTAATAAATTTTACTGGGTATAATGTAAAAGGGATTAATTCTCTAAGTTGTTCAAATACATATATGTTTAAAACAAGAGCTAAATTTACTGAAAGTGAAATGGAGTTTGGGGAAAATAAGTTCATTAAAAACCTCGTTAAGTTAATTACATATACAAACAAACGTAAAAATGTTTTCCACTAAAGTTAACACTTACTCAATTTGGTTTCTTCTGACCTTGCCTTCATCTTTCCATGAATGAAACTAAGGGCAAATGAGCCATTGATCTGGTTGGCTGAGTGAATCAGTGTGGCTTTGCATTTTCTACTGCCATTACCTTGTAACAAGAGATAATAGCTAGAATACTCTCCTTTCACTTCAACATCTGGAACTAAACAAAAACAATGATCTGGTTAAGTATGTAAAAGTTCAGCATGCAACATGGCAGAATCACACACTGAACCCACAGAATATAATGACATCTTGGTGTTGTCTTAACAGTTACCCAATATATTTGGGGCTAGCAGTCGTTCACTTAATTGAGAAAGCTGTTAAAATCTGAGAATCAATAAAATAAATAAAATAAAAATAAAATCAGAGAATCATAATAAAAAAGACACAAAGCATAAACATTTTAATTTAAATTAAAACTGTGTATGCATTTATTAACTTCTGATAGCTCATTAGAATTCCATGATATTTTTTTATATAAGCACAACCATAATGTATCAACTACTGTTTCCAGCTTCCACTTCTTCAAAGGGGAATAAACTGACCCCTGCAGGCACGCACAACTCAACGGGCGGGGGCAGAAGTGTACAGAGAGCCTTAAGAATAGCTTTTTGCTGCTTGCAGTGGGCGCCCATAGAGCATTTTTACGGAGGGAATAGAGAGCATTCATTAATCTGGCATGCCAGTTATATGAAGGTCAGTTAAGACAGCTTCTAGTATATTTTAAAAACAAATCAAGTGAGGGTTATAGTGAAGGTCAAAGAAAAACTGTGAAGCCTTTGAGAGTAAAAAATAGAAGCAAAGTCCTTTTTACTGAAGATGGTGAATTGGACATAAGCATCTATTTTAACTATCTCCTGAAATCCCATGAAATGAGAATAAAGAGAATTTTAAAATAGCATAAATCTCTAAGGACTAATATCTGAGAAAAGAGAATAGTGACTAAATTTTGAAAGTAGGAAAGCAGATGAACTACTGGTAACCGTCTCTCAATTACTAAGGACGCTGAGAAAAAGAGGACAAAGCTCAGAAGCAAAACCATGTGTACTACAACCCCTGACAAGAGACTCTGGGATGGTGGCCCCAGAGAGCACTGGAAGCAAAATGAAGGTGAAATAAAAAGATAGGTTCAAAGTCTGTTTGAGAAGCAGTGTGGCTTCCTGATTCCTCCGTATTCTACTCAGGTAAAGGACTGTCCTTTCCCCAGCCCAGAACACTAGTGGTTTATTCTCTGGAGAAAGTCAAACAAGGTGTCTCTGGCCTGAGAGATAAAACAGAGCTTAGGGTCGAGGTTGATTATCAGTGGATTAACTACACAGAATACCAAATCCCTTTTCCCTTCACTTACATAACTTTCAGAATTTTGGAAGCCAGATAGCAGAACTGAGTCTTCTTTTAGAAATATAGTAAGTTCTACAAGAGAGACTAATGAATCCCATTATTGGGGGGTCATCTAATATAATGTCACTGTGAAATCACCCGAAGATGAAGATCCCAGTCAACAAGCTCCAGCTATGCACCCAAATTTTCCGATCAGCTTTCTGGTACTCTGTCTTAAATATGAGCAGAGAGCCAAACATTATGAGACCTTAAGGAAAGTTTCTACTATGAAAGCCAGATGCCAAAACAAACAAACAGAAAAACGGGACTTGCAGAGAAACAAAGAATGTATAGTTAAACACACACACACACACACAAACAAATCAGATCACTAAAATCCTCAGAGATTATATTGCTTCTACTAAATAAGAACAGAAAACTACAAGAAAAGAACATTAACTTAAAAAGAGCTCATGGAAATTAAAATTAAGAAAGCAGAAACATAGATTTCAACTAATAGGTTAGATGATAAAGTTCAGAGTATCTTTTAGAAAATAGAAGACAAAGAAATGGAAAATAGGAGAGGAGAGAGGCAGAGAGAGAAACCAAACCAGGAGGAACATCCAAACAGGACTAACAAAAGGAGAATATTAAAAAACAAAGGGAAAAAAATTATCTACAAAATAATTACAACAACACTGTCCCAATTAAAAGATAAGCTTCCAGGGATGCTGAGTGCCCAATACAAGAATAAAAATAGGCCCACCAAGGGGTATCATAAAAATTCAGAAGACTAGGAACAATAAGTAGATTCTACAAAATGCCAGAGAAAAGAAATGTTTCTTATTAAAAAAAAAGCAAGAGTGAGAACAGCACGGAATTCTAAACAGCACCCAAACTGGAAGACAATGGAGCAATGCCTTTGAAATTCTTATATCCACTAAGACAAAAATGTACTTAAGCTTATTATAATAGTTCATTTCACAGATATGAGCATACTGTGGGTTAAACAATTATGCATCACAAAAATAATTTTTGCAATTACCCTGCAATAGAGACATTAATCCTATTCATAAACATCAATCTTAGAAAAGGAATTTAAATGAAGGTTATTAGAATGGAAAAAAAATAATAAAACTTGTTACCAGTTGTATTTGAAACTAAGGTTTACTAACTTGGTGAACTTAATTCATTCACCAATTTAGCACTGCCAACTCAAGTTATGTATCTTTTCAATCTATGACATCCCTTTCACACTTATTTAAATCCCATTACCTTAATTAAACTTTAATCACTAAAGCCTGTAATTACAACAATCTTATTTTCCTTAAAAGAAAAAGATTTATTTTACAGAACTCCCCTAATCATAATGACCATGCAGTCATTTGAAAAATGTTGATCCAGATTCGGCAGGTGTTAATTGAAGACTTATTAAATAATTTTTATGTAAATACAGAGTGTAACAGATTTATAATTAGCATAGTTATTAAATTCTCATAGCTCTTCCTAAAGAAATAAGGGAAATGATTACATCAGAAAATTCCTATTTTCATCTGTTATTTTTACGCTATCAAATTCTAAGATATTGATTGGTTTCCATGCCCCTTCTCCACCAAAACCAAACATCTATTTAGAACTATATAGGTAAAATGGGAGAGGCAGAAATTATAAGTTTCCTTTAGTTGCATTAAATTTTACACATAATATGAACTATAATGAAAGATTGTGTCATTATTAGCTTCATTAACAAACTTCTAGTATAATAAAAGCCAAGTCATATTTTATAGCAGTATTTTTCTCAGCAGTTTTTAACCCTATAGTAAGCCCCCTTCTTCATAACAGTTCAACAATATAAAAACAAAATCATATTAATGTAAAGGGGAAATAATATTTCAAATTATATCATGAAAAATATCCCAGGATAATTCTGGAAACAGGATATTCTGGTTAAATGTATATTCTAATATTGAAAAATTATTTATATATATATTTATATTTAGAAAATGATAAAATAATATACCCAAGTGTTTTGATTATCATGATAAACATTAAACAATAAAATAGAATATAATCCTCACGGTAGGCATTTTAGGAGGCTTTCAATGATATCATTCTTCAAACAACTGAAATGGCCCTTAGGGTCAGCTGAAGAGGCATAAGATTAAAAAAAAAGAAAAATCAGTCTACTGCTTTATATTCACAAAGGATTCCCCAAAAATGTATTGCCTAGCTTCATCCCCCACCTTACTTGTCAGGCTAAGCTTTATTTAGTGCAAAACCTAGCTGCCACCGAGACTGTCCAAGAAAATTACCTGCCTCAATTCTACGAAGAATCTAAACTGGTTCAAGAAATGATAGTATTTTATTTCTTTTATTGTTGAAAGTACTATAGATGTCTCTCCCTTTTTCCCCCATTGACCCCCTCCTCCTCACTCCCACCCCCCTCCTGCTTTCCCCAAACTAATGTCTGTGTCCATTGGTTGTGCATATATGCATGTAAGTTCTTAGGTTTATCTCTTCCCACCCCCCACAACCTCCATCCCTCTGAGAGTTTGTCATTCTGTTCCTTACTTCCATGACTCTGGATCTATTTTGATCAACAGCTTATTTTGTTCATTATGTTCCATAAATAAGTGATATCATGTGGTACTTGTCTTTCTCTGACTAGCTTATTTCACGCAGCATAATACTCTCCAGGTCTCTCCATGTTGTCTCAAAGGATAAGAGATCTTTCTTTCTTACAGCTGCATAGTATTCCATTGTATATATGTACCACAGCTTTTTTTATCCACTCATCTACTGATAGGCACTTGAGTTGTTTCCAGATCTTAGCTATTATAAATAGTGCTGCTATTAACAAAGGGGTACACATATTCTTTCTGATTGGTGTTTCAGGATTCTTAGGATATATTCCTAGAAGTGGAATCACTGGGTCAAATGACAATTCCATTTTTAATTTTTTGAGGAAGCACACACTGTAAGCATAGCCCAAAGATTTGAGTGTATTGTAGAAAACCTAACAGATTTTGTTTTTCTAGACAAGAGTAACCCCTTGTAGAGGATTTTAAAAATAAATCATTCTAACTTGTGAGAATCTGCTATCAAATGTTAGATTCCTTATTATTAAAAAAAAAGAAAAAGAAACAATAGTACTGTTGAATAGGTGTATGAAGCCTCCTCCTGTGAAGGCTACAAAAATGCAGGATTTATAAATTCCACCATGACTATTTTAAACCATTAAATAACATTAGGATCCTAAATTGTATACATTTCCTCTCAGTTACAACAGTAAAATATGCAATTTGAAAGCTACAATGAACAGAGAGGCTATTCAGAACATTGCTTCAACACCTTACTCATTATCATAAACAACTATGATCTCTTCATTGTTCCACAGACACACAAAGCGTTTAAGATTGGACAGAGTAAGAAAAAGCCACTGCAGAGTTTGGTGTTTACCTGCATTACCAACTGTAATTCAAACAAGTTTGTAAGATATACTAAACGAGTATTATCCTCATTTTCTAGCCAAGGAACTAAAGGCCTAAAGTAGTGATTCTTAATCCCTTTTCTGCCTCAAAGCATCTGAAAGACTCTCCAGTGACAGTGGCTCACTATCTACAGTAAAGAGAGCACCCGTAGGACAGAGCTTCTCAAATCCTGCATATTTGAAATATCTGGGTGCTATTTTAAACTGCTGAGACCCTGGTTCCCCAGATTTAATCGTTCTAGGTTAGGGCCCAGTTTGACTTCCTTTCCCTTTTTTTTTAAGTAATCATTACAGTCCCCAGCCCGGTGGCTCAGTTGATTGGAGCATTGTCCAGTCCAGCAAAAAGGTGGCACGTTTGTCAGAGTGTGTACTGGAGGCAACTGATTGATGTTTTTCTCTCACATCAATGTTTCTCTCTCTGACCCCCCTTCCTCTCTCTCTAATATCAATAAACATATCCTCAGGCAAGAATTTTAAAAATTGTAATAAAATAAAAAATAAATAGCTCTGCCGGTGTGGCTCAGTGGTTGAGCATTGATCCACACACTAAGAGGTCGCCAGTTTGATTCCAGTCAGGGCACATGCCCAGGTTGTGGGCCAGATCCCCAGTGGGGAGCATGTAGGAGGTGGCCAATCAATGTTTCTCTCTCTCTCTCCCTTCCTCTCTAACATCAACAAAGAAAAAATAAAAAACATTTCATCAGCCCTTATTAGTCTAGTCCCTTTAAAATATTTTTATCGGGCCCTGGTCAGTTTGGCTCAGCGGTTAGAGCACTGCCCTGCGGTCCAGAGAGACCCGGGTTCGGTTCCCACTAAGGCCACATACCTCGGTTGCAGTTTGTCCCCGGCCCTGGACGGTTGTGCGGGTGGCAGCCACTCGATGTGTCCCTTTCACATCGATGTTTCTCTCTCTCTCTCTCTCTTCCTCTCTCTCCCTCCCACTCTACCTGAACAAAAAATGGAAAAATGTCCTCAGGTGAGGATTGATTAAATAAATAAATAAATAAATAAATAAATAAATATATTTTTATCAGAAGACTTGTCTGTGAGCAAAATAATAAGACTTCCCCCCCCCAAGAGTATCTTTAAAATTTTTCCTCTCAAAATAATTCCAATTTTTAAAAAATGAGGCAACAATAAACTCAGAAATGTGAAGTCAGCGTGCATGGCCTGAAGACGTATTCACACTTGGGTGAAAATTCTGATTTTACCCGGTGATATTAAAGTTTCTTGATTTCTCTGTAGCTTAGCTTTTGCATTTGTAATATAAAATCAGGCAACGGTCAACATCTAGTTTTTAACAATTTCATAAAACTTCTCTGTAAACATATGTTGAGCCAGGCACTTATAATTATACAACAGGCTTTTCAATACAAATTTTAAATAGAGTAGTCTTTTCTTAGGATTTAATTGCATTTATTCATATCGTCCTTTGGTACTTTTCCCAGCATCATAATAGTTTCTGGGTATTTCACCGAAAATCACTTTAAAAAATCATTCTTTACTACTCTTACTTTAAGCATACTTAAGTGGGGCATTGTTTTTCTATTTTAAGTTAAACCATATGAAATTGCTAATATTTAACAATGTTTGATATACCAATATAGCAATACCATATGGTTCAAACTAATACATATATAATGTATTTTATTTCATCAAGGAATAATGTTAAATGGAATTTTGATATTGATGTTAATGACTGCAACTCTCTGGGTCTTCCAACTACCATTTACTAAACATTTACTAACCTTTCCTCCACTTTACCTTAAATTCAGGTCTTTCTAAAAACCCTATTCTTGGCTCTCTTCTCTAGTCTTGTCTATATGATATTTTTCAATCACTCCTATGGCTTTGTTATATCGGTGGCTTCCCAGTATTCACGCCCTTATACAGTCACCTCCGCTTGAATCTGGGCCATTCTTATGAGACACTTTAAATAATAGAAAACAGCAACAGGGACAGTGGGACAATTCTGGGACTAAGCCTTAAAAAGTCCTGGCAGCTTCAACTTTTGTACATTTTGGAATCTTGAGCCACCAGGTAAAAATTCCAGCTAAGCTGCTGCAGAGATCACGTGAAGAAACCATGTGGCAAGATAAAGGCTGAGACCACATGGAGAGAGAAAGAAGCTGTCCCTGCATCCGGCTGAGCCCAACTTGCAAACAACTCACCAGTCCAGTGCAGCCCCCGGAGTGACCCCTGGGGACACTGGCAGAAGACCTGCCCGGCTGCACCTAGCTCCAACAGCAGAACTTGAAAGAACAGTGTTTGCTCTTTTAAGCCACTTAGTTTTAGGGTAGTTTGTTATAAAATAGATAAACGAAACAGCTGATAAACTCAAAATCTACATTTCCAGCCCCGACTACTCTCTAGAGATACAGATCTAAGTTTCAAACACTAAATTTAAATTCCCATATAGATATCACCTGTATTTCTAATTCAATATTTGCTAAAATGGATTTCAGTATCTCACCTTTTTCCTATATAGTATTGCATAAGCCATTGATTTTAAAATTGTATTCCTCAAAATTCTAGGACTAGAGTTTTTCTAGAGATTTCTTCTAGAACCATCTTGGTAGATGTTTCAATTCCCTTATACCACTGAGTCACAAAACTAACTGTAAGCTCAAAAATAATTTAAACAGATTTTTGTCCAATGAATAAAAATACCATTTAGATTTAAGCACAGAATGAAGGAATACACTTTAGCTATGTTACTTTGGGCAAGTTACTAACAATTTCAGCTTCAATTACCTCATGAAATACTAGGGTTTGGATTTAAATAATCTTATTTTACAACAGAGATTAGAATTTCATTTTTACAATGACATCTTGGTTAAGAGCACAGAGTGTGGGTTCAAATTCTTGGACAAGGTGCAGAGCTATTAACCGGCAGAGCCAGGACCTGACCCAAGATTCTGCCAATTAATAGCTCAGTAAAATCTCCAACCCCCAATTTCCTCACCTGTGAATTGGTTACAAACTATGTTTATAAGGCCAATATAAAAATTAAATAAATCAATATTTTTAAAGTACTCAGAACACACTACACAGCATAGAATGAAACTGTTAAATAAGTTCTTCTAATTTCTTCTGAATACTGTAATTAAACTGTTTTTTTAAATACACCATATAATTAAGCACTCCATTGTTATCAATTTTATTCCTAAAATGTCTCTAAAAAAACCGATGTTCAATATAATTATCTAATTAATCCAAAGTTCTACCTTGATCACCAATATCTTTTATTTTTTTAAAAAATATTTTCTTTACTGATTTTAGAGAGCGTGCTGGAAACATCAATGTGAGAGAGAAACATCAATTGGCCGCCTCCTGCATGCCCCTTACTGGGGATCGGACCCACAACCTGGGCATGTGCCATGACCTGCCGGGAATCAAACCAGTGACCTCTTGGTACATGGGTTGGCACTCACCCACTGAGCCACACCGGCTAGGCATCACTGGTATTTTTTTCAATGAATACGGTTATATATTCATTATGTTATAGCAAGTTGTTAGAGATAATAAAAGAAAAACCTTAAAATGATGTGGGTCCTTTTCAATCAGTAGTAATAAATATTATTTTCCCATAAAGAAAAGTTATCTCCATTTCAATTTTAATAAATACTATGTATCTATGTTGTACCACTAAAACATTTAAAGATCTCCTACTTACCACTGATTGTCTTAGGCTTTTTAGCTATGTATTCCTTCCATTTTCTTGAACTAAGCTGGCTAGGAGGTGGACTAAGTATGTTACTAATAGTACATGGCAATACAAAAAGTGCACCAACCTGTTGAAAACAGAATAGACTTTAATTTGTAAATAGTATTATCTGACAATTTTCCTCAGTTTTTACTCGTATAAGATGTATTTATAACACTCTCGCCCAACAACAACTCCACTGTAAAAACTGAAAAACAAAAACAATGCCCAACCTCCACCCCACCCCTCAAAAAAGCCATAGACCAGACAACAAAAACAGAGAAAGTTCTTCAGAGCTGTAGGCATTCCTTTCCCACTGGGTTATAAACCTCTAAAAACCTTGTTATTCACATATTTGCTTCAAGTTCAGGTTATGGATGTAATTTCTTTGTATATCTGCAAACGAATGAGAGGCTAGAATCTCGACCACCAAAAGACTTTGTCATACTCAGCCATAATTTTATAATCTTTTGATTGGATGGATGATTTTCCTGGCTTCACAATTAGAATAATGTGGAAGGTAATTTCAAAAGTTGTGTTCCTAGAAATTAGAGGTTTAATGCTAACAGGTATAAAATGTAGAGAAACTATGAATCACATGCCAGGAAACATACAGCAGCTTCTCACTGATTTATGGGCAAACTCAACGTATTCACCTTTGTATTCCCAGGGCTGGGCATACAGATGTTTATTAAATATTTTTTCCAAAAAACCACCATAGTATATTTAGGTAAATTCTCAGTTTGATGAAGTACTGAATAAACAAACTACACCTCTGAAAGTGGTATTTTGCCAGTTATTAGAATGCAAGCTACAGCAGTCAGCACATCCCAACAAATATCTTTTATTAAAGTCTGGGGAAATTTAGTCAAGGTAGTTGCCATAGATCTCAAATCGAAGGCAAAATCACTTTTAATTATCCTACGTAGATGGATGGGTTACATGAGATATGACACTCAAATAATGTATTAATGTGCTAGTTTTATTGCTATTTACTACTTTTACTTATACATGCTTAACCAGCAGACATGAGAATGAGTGTATCAGAAGAAAAATAAGGTAAATTAAATATGCTTACTTTTCTTTTTATTATAGTCATAACCTTTTAAAAGTCAAATATATTTTACACTGTCAAGAATTAGACATTAAAAACATTTAGCAATGGAAAATAATCATTGAGTGTAATTTTCTAAATACTAAGTCCCAGTTCTTCATTCCTGTATAAATAAGACTTCACAGTCCACAATGCACGGTAAACCTGCATGACCCAAAGGGTAGACAAGGATGTGATGTGAGCAGGCCAGACTAGGGCCCAGTTATTTTTGACAATTACATGGTCATTATAACTATAGTTCTGGTTTAACAATTTAGAGATGCCAAAAGAAGTTCAACGCATAACATATAGCCGGATATAAATGTGGCCGGACCCATCGGCCAAAGAAGTGGCCATGTTTTTGAGACTGCCTATTTATTAAACATTTGCTATGATTAAGAAAAACATTTCTAAATCCTGTCACGAAGCTTATTTTTGAAAATCTCTTCTAAAAAACAGAACGTCATTTCATGTCTGCAGAGGACTTTGGAGTTATTATGAAAAGTCTAAAGTGTGTTAATATAAATTAGGACCAAAATCATGTTAAAGAAACCAAATCACACACACAGAAAACAGATTCACAAACTACAGTCCCTTTTCTCACACATTCTTAAACATTAAGTAAAAAAACAAAAAAATAAAATAAAAACACCTCTCTACCTTGGCAGACAGAGAAGAAATCTGCTCCAACAATAACAAGGAATTCTTCCTGGCATCGTTTTTCGTCAGTCCTCTGTACTAAGGAGTTAAAGAGATGATGGAATGGTAACTGTGAAACAATCCTACTTCCTAATACAAGTTTGATTCTCCAGTTCACAAGGTTCTTAAATTCATTTATTAAAAATTTTACCTGTAGGAATTCACAACTACTCCTTTCCTTAAGAACAATCATTTTTCTGATTATGAAAATATACCAAAAAATAGTGCTACTGTGAATGGTATTACATTAAACTACAAGAATAAGAGACTTGTAAAAACTGTAGCTTCTAAAAAAAAATTGAAGAACACTATGCTAGCTTTCCATTTGTAGCCAACTTCTTTTTATACAAAGTGTCTGTTCTGAGCTGTATTTCTAAAAGTTATTCCATTTTCTTAAGACAGAATTTAAAGTATGTTGAATATTTACAGATATAAATGATCACATTCATATTTACTTAAGTATACAAACAGATACAATAGACTGGTGCTTACCCATCCTGCCAATGGCAAGAGAAAGAAACTGAACATGTCAGGAATATATAAATTACTGTTTTCTCCCCATATTCTAGTATTTCTGCCTCCTCCCCAGCCCATACGCAATAAGCAGCAATCAGGAAGTCTTCTGCCTGGTCTAGAAATACAAAGACAGTGCTCGAGGGAGGAATTTTCTTGTAAGTTATAGAACTTCTCTTAAAAGAATGGCAATGAAAAGTACAGTGAATAGTATTTTTATAAAAACCAGCATGGTTAAACATCTAAATGTGGAGTGGTACAAGGAAACATTCTACCCAACACAGAGAACGTGATCTAAAATGAAGATGTCAACGAAAGGATACACCTCAAATTCAATGTCCGACATGTAGCAGGAGGGCAGATCTGCTAATTTTATCATCTGCACAAATTCTAAAGCAGGGCCGTAATAATGGAAAACCTAGAAAAGAAATTAAAATTATACAATACTTTACATACTATACAGTGAAAGGGAACATGTTAGTGATTAAGGTTTGAAACTTGAAAATGAATCTTAGAAAAGTAGGTATTTACACATCACGCTAAGCTTCCAGAGCCAACAAGGAGTCTTCCATTTCTACTCTACATATCCAAGTAGAGACAGACCTGGAGATTTCTTAGGAACAACAAAGGGTTTTACCAGTGAGAAAACAAGTACTATAGGAAGAGGCAAACAACAAAGGACAAGAGTTCTCAATCTTTCCTGTTTCTCTTCAGCAAAACAGATAGAAAACCAGAGAGGCTGGGATATTTAAAAAAAAATTAAGAGTCTGCAAGGCTGAGAAAGAAAGGAGACTCAGGATGAACTCAGATTGAGTGGTATGTTGAGACTAAAAAGAAAAAAAAAAAGTCCTGGAGGAAATACTGAAAAAATTAAAGAGAACTGGTGAAGCCAAGAGTACTAATTAACAAAGAAGTTCCACTCCGAGAAATAAAACTGCAGTATTACTTTGGGTAGAGCCAACAACTAAATAAAGAGTGAGCTAATGAAGAAGAACAGGGATTTCAAGAGCTGGGGCTTAAGTGCTTCACAAAAAGGGCAAAGAAAAGTGAATGCATCTTGAGGAACCTACACAACATTTTTAACTTGCTGAAAGCTGAGTAATTTCACCATATAAGATTATGTGTGTGGGTACATTTGTATACACATGTAGTGTATACACATTCGCACACACATATAGTGTGCAATGTGTGTGTACACAAAAAGACTAAGAAACCTATTATTTAATGAAGAGGTTGTACCCTAAGATTCTTTTCAATAGCAGAAAAAATTAGATATACTACTCATACTTAAATGGTGTAATAAGATGAAAAGTTGAGATCATCAATCTTATGTTTCCAATCTTTACAAAAGAATGTAGTTCTGTGAAAGATGGCTATGACAAGTTCCTTAATCAATTCTGAACAAATATTGGGAAATGTGCTTCCATCAGAAACATGCCCTTTTGGTACTACCTTTTGATCAGAAAATGATACCTATCAATCTGACATCATTATAACTTCATGACTGTTATATTATGCACATTCTTGAATTGAGGCTTTTCAGTGAATTTCTGAATTGCTTCTACATAAATAGCTCTTATGTTATTTTTCCAATGAAAAAAAAAAAAAAACAAAATGGCCAATTAACCCTTTTTTAATTATTATTATACTTGATAATTACTTGCGTTTTAAGAATAAGTCTATGGTGATGTGGGACAAGAACTACATTTTTAAATAGTAAATGAAGCACACGTCCAGTACTTCGTCAGAGGCTGTTTTCTCACCTCATGTAACCCTCAAGATGACTCTGTAAGGTAAGTGTGTTATTACTGGCTCCACTTCACAAGAGTTCATCAATCTACCCAAGGTTATAGTACCTCATAGGTGGCAGAATTAAGTGCCAAACCCAGTCTACCGATCATCAAAGCCTTTTCTCTTTCCACAGTATCATACTTTCCCCAAAATGAGTCTTAGAAAAGTCACATAGTCGAGTCCACACCAAAGGTGGTTTCAGGTCTGCACTGATCTAAAGTTAGAATAATTGCATTTAAAAAATTGTCTTTAATTTAAAACAATGATAATTTTGCCAGCATTCAATGCTGATAACACAGTATAATTTAAGCACTTAATCTTATAATTATAATAAAGATTATGCAAATGAGCCTAACACATATATTAGTAAGTACAAATTTATGATTCAAACTTATTTCATAGGGACAAAAATATACATGAATGGATAGTTGCAAAGATAAACAAAGATTACCTTTGGCAAACAAGTCTTTTCCTTTGATGGCATTATCTTTTTGTCAACAAAGCAAGTATTTAAGTTAGACATACTAAAACTCTTAGGTGTGACTCCCTTTAAACAGAATTCAGGAAAACTGATTGCACATCCAAACTGAAAAGAAATCAAGAGAACAGACATCATGAATAAAGTTATAAAGACTGGTACATCTTATTGCGATGTAAAAGTTGAGAAGAAAACCCTCTGTAAACTTGTTCTTCTTTCCTCAGCTCAAAGGGTGGTTCTTCCATTTATGTACACTTCCCATTTATTTCAACGTTCACATGAATTTTTCATGAAAAGCTCTCCTTGGCCCTTCACCAGCCTGCAAGAGTATATTAAGCTCATTCTATGCAACCACAGAACCATACAACCTCTTTTGCACATACTTGTTCAATATCTGGCTTCCTACCAGTCTGGAAGTTCTGCAAAAACAAAACTTGTTCATGCAACAACAGAAGATTGTTGATGAAAAGATCAATTCTTGCAGACGTGGTAATAGCAGAGGTGCTGATAATAGCAATGGCAACAACGATTGCTCACATTGAGTGGTTATTTCGCGCTTTAATTCTTGTAAAACTCTATGAGCTAGAAACTATCATTATCCCTATCTTACAGATGAAGACAACTATTGTACCAAAAGGCTAAATATTACCCAACATGTCACACAACTACCAAGAAATACAGTTGGATTTGAATGCAGGCAATATCACTATAGAATCTATGTCCTTAATCACTGAGAAGCCTCTAGGCTAAAAGCTATTCTCCATCAAAAAAAAAAAAAGTGATTTCAAGTTTTAAATGCATCCTGTGGAGATGTGGACGTTTAGTGTCCTATTCAGAAGAGAATGAAAGAATAGCATGAAAAGAACTTACCATTTTCTGTCTGTATGAAAACATGCAGTTTTAGAAAATATATACAAAAGCAATTCTCCTAGCTAACAGTATCTTGCACTCAGCCAGGTGCAATATGGTTTGTTTACATTAAAACAACTGCAGAAAGGTTTACCTGCAGATTTTACCTTCCCAGGATTAAGATGAGAGAGCATTCAAATCAACAAGAAGGACCCAGCCATGTTAATTCCTACTGTATTACTAGAGGTTGTGTTACACCACTATTAAGGGCGAATTGAAAAGGAAAAAAAAAAAAACCCTGGCTGGTTTGGCTCAGCAGTTAGAGCATCAGGTCGCAGACCAGAGACCTGGGTTCGGTTCCCACTAAGGGCATGTACCTCGGTTGCAGTTAGTCCCCGGCCAGATGGGGTCGTGTGGGTGGTAACCAGTCGATGTGTCTCTCTCATGTCAATGTTTCTCTCTCCCTCCTGCTCTATCTGAAGATAAAATGCAAAAAAAGAAAAGGGAAAAAAAGTCTAGCCCTTGTCAATTTTAGAGCATCAGCCCATGGACCAGAGTCGTGGGTTTGATTCTCTGTCAAAGGCACGGACCTTGTTTGTGGGTTTGATCCCCGGCCCTGGTTGGTCATGCAGGAGGCAACCAATTGATGTGTCTCTTTCACATCCATGGTTCTTTCTTTCTCTCTTTCTCCTTTCCTCTCTCCCTTCCTCCCATCCTCCCTCCTACTCTACCTAAAAAAAAAGGAAAAATATCCTAGGGTGAAGATTAAGAAAAAAAGTCTAGTAATTAGTGCAATAAACCTTTATAGGAATGCAAGGGACTACTAATGTTCTCATGTCACCCTGAACAAATACTTAGAAACCTGGTTTTAGCTTTGCCTATACACAAAAATACAGGAAATACTAGGAACTCTTATTTCAACAGGGGCACAACTTATAAAAAAACCAAACATATTCATAGTTAAGAGATGACCAATAGAACTGGAATCTCAGAGACATTTAAGATTAGAGGGTCCAGCCCGGCTGGTGTGGCTCAGTGGTTGAACGTCTCCCCATGCACCAAGAGTCGCCGGTTCAATTCCTGGTCAGGGCACATGCCCATGTTGTGGGCCCAATCTCCAGTGGGGCGCGTGCAGGAGGCGGCCAATCAATGTTCTCTCTCATCAATGTTTCTATCTCTCTCTCCCTCTCCTTTCCTCTCTCTCAAAAATCAATAAAAAAAATTACTTATAAAAAAATAAAAAATAGCCCTGGTTGGTTTGGTTCAGTGGTTAGAGCATTGGCCCGCAGACCAGAGAGTCCTGGGTTCAGTTCCCACTTAGGGTATGTACCTCGGTTGCAGTTTGTCCCCGGCCCTGGTTGGGGTTGTGTGGGTGGCAGCCACTTGATGTGTCTCTCTCACATCGATGTTTCTCTCTCTCTCTTCCTCCCTCTGCCCCTCCCTCTCTATCTGAAGATAAATGCAAAAAAAAAAAAAAAAAGTCCTCAGTTGAGGATATAAAATAAATAAATACATAAATTTTAAAAATTAAAAATAATAAAAATAAAAGATTATAGGGTCCAACTAATCTAATATTCTCAATTTGTAGTTGAAAAATCTGGGGTCTGGCAAGGTTAAAAAAATTGCTCAAAATTACAGGACTGGTTAGTAGAGGGCAGAGATCACCTAAACTGGTATGACAGGTAAGAAATTATGTTCTAAGTAGTCTTCCTATGTATGTAATAAAATAAAGCAGCTTGGATAAACAACATGAAGCCAACTAATGTCAAATTCTATATTTTTAAGGAATATATGCTCTAGAACTTCAGTGTCCAAAACATAATCACAGTGATTTTCATTTCAATTAATTAAAATAAAACACAGTTAAAAACTCAGTTCTCAGGTTGAATAGTCACATATAAAGTACTCAGTAGCAATAAGAGGCTAGTAAACTACTATATAAGCACAAATATAAAACATCTCCGTTACTGAAGAAAGTTCTTTTTACAGATCTATTCTAGAACATCTTTATAAGTACATTTTCACTTAGATTCATTTAACTATCTGTGTTAATAAATATAGTTGAAAGGAATGCTTTGCAAACTATGATCACTGAGAAATCCACCTACCTTTCTTTCCCATATCTGAATCTTTCCCCTCCATAATTCCCTTGAGTCAACAGCATTTCCGAGATACTCTAAAGATACTACATTAGCAGAAAGGTACTCTGCAATTTTCTGATAGTTACTACAAAAAAAAAAGATCATGATAATTAAATATAGGGTTTTATATTTTACTTAGATGTAATGGCTAGTTAAGTACAGGACTAACAGGCAAAAATGCAAATTCATATCATTGCTTTTATCTACTTTTTAAAATATAAAATACCCAATAAGTCAGCCTGTGAGTTGCTATGACATGTTCATTTAATCCTAGCATCCCATGAATTATTACCTTTAATACTACAGATGAAGAGATAGACTTTAGTCTTAATATGCATTGGATTAAATGTATCAGATGTGTACACACACACACAAACTCAATGCCCATTCCTTATCTTAAAAAAGAGAACTGATCTCCTAAATTGTTCCCATATGCACTTATCACCAACTATCATACAATTACCATTCCTGTTTCTCCCTCACTGCAATGAAAATATCAAATCTCACTTTCTTAGCTCACCAGCATCTATTGCTGTGTTTGGCATAAAAAAAGTGCTCAGTAAACAGTTGTTGAATGAAAAAAATAAAGGATAATAAATCCAGTTTGAATAATTATTTAAGAATCAAACTGTAGCCCTGGCCGGTATGGCTCAGTGCTTATACCTTCGGTCAGTGGACCAGAGAGTCCTGGGTTCGGTTCCGTACCTCAGTTGCAGTTCATCCCGGGCCCCAGTTGGGGTCGTGTGAATGGCAACCACTCGATGTGTCTCTCTCACATCGATGTTTCTCTCTCTCACTTCCTCCTTCTCTCCCTCCCACTCTATCTGAAGATAAATCAAAAAAAAAAAAAAGGGTCCTCAGGTGAGGATAAAAAAAAAAAAAATCAAACTGTAATATAAATTGATCCTTACTAAAATGTCATAAAATACAACAGTATATATTTATTTCTATATTACACAGAAAACAAAAACAAGTATGAAATTATAAAGCCAGTGTACCCATGTATCCATCATGATGCTCACCTGACAATACAAGCCTATTAAAAGCACTGTTTGAAAAATTAATGCTCAACAATGGTTTATATATAAATATACATATTTGCATTGATAACATTTACTAAATGTTGAACATCTCAGAAATACAAGTATAAAATAAGACTAATATGGATTCTTCTCAATAAATCTCCAATCAAAGTATGATATAAAACTATCTTGTCACATTAAAATTTCTTCAAATGCTGAATCTATTAAAACAAGATAGCATATTAACTGTAAAAAACACAACAAAGACAGTAATCAAATGAATAAACACACTTACATTTCACAGCCCTGGCCGGTTTGGCTCAGCGGTTACAGCGTCGGCCTTCGGTCCAGAGAGACCCGGGTTCGGTTCCCGCTAAGGGCATGTACCTCGGTTGCAGTTTGTCCCCGGCCCTGGTTGGTCGTGCGGGTGGCAGCCACTCGATGTGTCCCTTTCACTTCGATGTTTCTCTCTCTCTCTCTCTCTCTCTCTCTCTCTCTCTTCCTCTCCCTCCCTCCCACTCTATCTGTACAAAAAATGGAAAAATGTCCTCGGGTGAGGATAAAAAAAAAAAAACAAACACAACAAAGACAGTAATCAAATGAATAAACACACTTACATTTCACAATGATTTCCCGCTATAGTAATTTTTGCTGAGTACCATTCCTTTAAATGTTTTAATGCTCCAACAGTAGGCAAACAGACTTCAAATTTAGGAGGATCTTTGTCAGGGGGCAACAGTATTATATCTATCATTGCTCTACCTGGAAAGGGAAAAGGGCATTTTTGTAATTTTATAAAATTGTTAAGATCTGAACTGCCTCAAAACAGTACCCTGAACAACTGAATTTTATGCTTATCTAGAAGACAAAGGAGAATTTTAACTTTAATTCTTAAGTTCTTCAAAATAATACACATCTTTAGGAGTCAAATTGTTAAATGTTCATCACTGATTTAAAGCCATGTTATCTTGACATAGCTTCCACATGCCAGAAAACAATGAACTACATCACAATCACTTGTCAATTATGCACCAGTGGTTAATTATACACCTTGCTCTTGAGATCATGAGTATTATTGTACTTAACAGAGGAAAAACAAACAAAAAAAACCTGTGCAATTTCATTATATTTTTATATACTCAACTTTGTTATACAAAATGGAATGAATTAGTATAAAATTGTAATGTTCAAATAAATTCTTTCTTTACAAAAAAGCAAAAACACTCAGAAAACTCAATTATACTGACATCATTGGTTCCTAAGGAAGATAATTACATAAAACTTTAAATTTTCTAAAATTATGAACTTACTGAAGAACCAGAACAATCAAATAGAAACAGAAGCCAAATAAAAATTTAATACTGAAAGTACTGATTTGCCAAAACAGCAACTATATATTTCAGTTCAGAACATATTTTGAACTTGACACATTTCACTTTTAAAAATCAATATATTTTTAATCTATGAATTCAGTTATTTCCATGTAGGATTTTTTACACTAAAATATGATCTTAAAGATAAGGATCAGACTGTGATCTATAAAATCTATAGTAATCGCATAGGCTTACTTAGCACTATATACTCCGCCTGACAACGCAGTACACATAATAGATATAACAAATGTACGCTTAATAAATGACCTTCAATAATGAAAACATTCAAAGACAGCTCTCTGAAAGTATTTGTGGATGCAAATTATACCAAGCTTTAGATGCCAGCTACTTGATTAACACAAAGAAAGATGAATTTAAGAAAACCAGTTTAAGACTAGTATGATGCAGTATTCATAAAATATGCTTTCTACTATAGGGAAAAAAAAAATGGGTTCTGTAAAAAAAATGCTGAGTAAAGGGATTCTTTTACTGCACAACTTTATATTCAATAATGTGTATAGTGACTTCACAGCATAAAAGAATGTTATCAAATTAACTAGGAGAAAGAAATTCTTCTTCCAGGAGTTGTTCGTGGGACTAGTGTTCTATAGAACATGCTCTTGTAAAACACTGGTATATGATGGAAAGATTCTTCTTCAGTAATAACTAAATTAAAAAACAGTTAAGTATTTAATTTTCTAAGTTCTAATTTTTGTCTCACAAAATAAAAACAATGAAGAGAACTGTAACATCTCCAGAATGTACATTATAAAAGGAGTAAATTACATTTAGTATTAACTTCAATTAAGAATTTATTTTTCACTATGAATTTCAAAGTTAAAAGTGACAACCCAAGGATAAAGACTGAATTCATCACTCACTCACTGAAAGTATAAGATAATATACAAATTATAGAAAGTAGTCATAAAATCTTACCAGGAGCAGGAAGTTTATCTGATAATTGATGTAAATTTTCTGCAGATTCTTCATAGAGACTAAAATAATAGGGGTAGAAAAAACAAAAAACATATACACATTACATCTCATCATAAAGGTAATGTCAATGGGTCTATGTGCTAGACCCTGTCAAGTATGCTGGATACACTATCTCATCTGATCCTCATGGCAATCCCATGATGTACTACTATATACTACTATTGTCCTCAATTTGAAGAATTTTCCTATAGTCATATGATTAGTAGATGTGGAAAGTAAGATATAAATCCTGAGTTCCAAGTTCTCAACCACTCCCAAAAAATAAACAAGAATACCAGAGAAAAGCTCCCTAAATTATACTTGGATATTAAAAACCATAACTAATAGACCAACCATTTTTCTGAATCCTAAAAGTAAGATATTGCTAAGTGTTTAATAGAGCATACTGCTTTTCTCTGAATGGCATATAGTAGCTCTGACTGTGAAATATGATGTTCTCTTCCAAGTCTTCAAAATCTATTAGTTTTATCCATATGATGAATTTTTTTTCACAAAATAGTTTATTATAAAGCATAAAGGTACTTAAATCATTTATTACAAACCCACCAATGTCTAAGACACTTAAGGCATCTTATTATAAAGTATAGTCTTCAAGCTCCCTCTTGTGGAAATAATTATTAGGTCATTTACTAGAAATATTTACTTTTAGACTTGTCATCTTATAGCAGTGGCAGAACACATAAGGAATGATAAGTGCTCTCAGGCTGGAAGGTACCTTATAATCCTCTGAAAGGACTATAACACTGTACAAGTACAAAAACAAAAGGCCACAGAGTTAAGTGACTGGCCCAAGATCATATAACTAGAGACCAGAATGTGACTCGCTTCAGTGCTCTTTCCACAGCTTCACAATATCCCGTGTTCATCAGTACAACAAATGTGATGTGAAAATAGAAAAACAGAAATTTTAAAAGTCTGTAATGATTTACAGATATATTATATGTGAATACTAAAATAAATAAAAGTGTTTATTTTTGGTAATGCAACATGGAAGACTAAATAAAAGGCATTAATTATGGCCCTGGCCGGTTTGGCTCCGCAGTTAGAGAGCTGGCCCAGGGACCAATGAGTCACAGGTTTGATTCTGGTCAACGGCAGGTACCTTGGTTGCAGTTTGTTCTGGGCAACCAATCGATGGTGTCCCTCTCATGCCAATACTTTTCTCTCTCTCCCTCCCTCAGATTCTATCTGAAGATAAATAGAAAAATATTCTCAGGTGAGAATTTAAAAAAAGGGGGCATTAATTATGAGTCAGATAGAATATTTCATGAAAACAAAGTATCACTACTTGTATCACCTGAATCAACATATATTGTACAATTCAAAAAAAAAACTAAAAGTGAACTCAATTATTTAATCTTCAAAAACTCTTTAAGAATTTTTAAAAATATGTTCTTATTGATTTTTTAGAGAGAAAGGGAGATAGAAACATCAATGAGAGAAATACATAGATCAGCTGCCTCCTGCCCGCCCCCTACTGGGGATCAAGCCTGCAACCGGGGCATGTGCCCTGACCAGGAATCAAACTGGGACCTTTCAGTCCATGATGACGCTCAATCCACTGGGCAACACTGGCTGGGCTTATGAATTTTTAAAGGTACTTGAAATACCTTACGAGATACACATAAATTGAAGAAATAATATTTCAGCCTCAAATAGCAAAATAAAAATGGTAGTTTGGTTTGAATGCCAGTTATTAACCTTAAAGTTTCTATTCATTATAAAACACAATTATCGGGCAGGATTTATGTTCAAGAAAGTGACATCTTAAATATCACTTCTTATAGTTCCTGTAATTATGTAAGCTTAAGAAGCTAAATATTATCTGATTCCAATTGCATTTTAAAGAATTTCACTCAAATAAAAGGCCCAAATTGCCCAATGTCTCCCAAAATGAAAAGCTGAAACTAACTAAAATCCCCTGCTATCACTGTTAAAATATCTAATCTTCATTCTATAGCTAAAATACTATCTAATCAGAAATATTTTAAAGACATTATTAAAAGCATATAAGCATACTCAGCCAATGATGAGTCCCTGCTATTACTATCTTCTTCCTCAAAACACTCAACAGCACTCAGACATTCTTTGATATTTGTTTGCAGAACATCTTCAATTTCATCTTTTTCCATACCAAAATGTATCTCTTCCCAGTCAGAACTACAAAACTAATATATCAAAAGATTGCATTAAATGATGGGTTCATGAAATTATTTATATTAACTAAAACATTACTAATGACTAGTTTTTAAAATTTATATTACCTGATAAAATCCACATATGGCCTGCACTGCAAAGAACCACTTCTTAGAACCAGGTATACCACCCACCGAGCAGGCTTTGAAAAAAAAATCACTTATTAGAAGAAAGGCATACCACAATTAAGCAGATGTAATAGCATGTATACTTAGAAAATTATATAATCTTGATACATATTATACATATTACATAGTTCTCCAAGTTATATATATATAATATATATATATAATGTGGATTAAACACACACAAACACACACACACACACACACACACACACACACGATCTTTTAAAAATCTTTACTAAAAATCCAAACTGAGAAATCTGCTTAAAGAGCAAAATTATTCACTCACCATGAATACTATGGACTATTTCATCACAGTTCAAAATCCCTATTATTATTTTAATCATCATTTCAAACACTGGCATCTACCATAAAGATGTTTAAAAAAAAAAAACTACTGTATTTCTACTGATTCACACAGAACAGTGCAAGTCATTTTAGTGACAGTGATTCTCTCTTCAAAGACCATGAAGGTCTGGCTAGAAAGGGAACAGACAAAGAGGAACTACAACCTAAGACAAGAGGATGCTCTTCCTGGAGACTGGAATCTTACCGAGGATGTAAAACGAAGGGTCTTCGCAGGTGCATGTCAGAAAATCATGAATTTAGAACTATGCGGCCCAGCCAGTGTGACTCAGTGGTTGAGTGTCCACCCATGCACCAAGAGGTCACCAGTCTGATTCCCAGTTGGGGCACATGCCCAGGTTGTGGGCCGGATCCCTTGTGGGGGGCATGCAGGAGGCAGCCAGTCGATGTTGTCTCTTATCAATGTTTCTATTTCTCTCTCTCCTTCTCCCTTCCTCTCTCTCTAGAATCAATAAAGAAAAAAAAATAATGTACAACTATGCATAGAAATTAGATTCACTGGAGAGAGGAGAAATGTGGTTACTGAGGCTTAACTCATGAAAGCTAGGAAAGGTGCTAAGTACCTATTACCACTTTATGTCAACAATCTCAGCAAAAGACTTTACCTATTACTTCCTTAAGAAAATAGAAATTAGATATTAACTCCCATAAATCCTGTCAACAAACACAGGACCCTACTTGCATTTCTATTAGGCCTCTCCTCTTCCTTCAGGTTAACACGTAAGAGGCACTGCCCTTTGAATCCAAGGTTATCCTTGAAACTTATGCCTGGACCCCAGGCCACTGATTATACGATCTTGCATCTTCAATCTCTCCTCATTTGTTGGTTCCTTCCCATTAGCATTCAAATTTGCACAAGTGTTTGTCAAATTGTTTTTTTTTTATAGGATCTTTTAAATTCACCTCCTCTTACCAGTTACTACTATATTTCCTCATCACCTCTCCTGCTCCCCTCCAAATCCATCTCAAGCTGTCTTTTTATTTCCAACATGCCAGTGAAACTAGACTGAGTCACCGATAACTAACATGTTAGTAAATCTAGCTGGCACTTTTTAGTTCTGTTGTTACCTGACCTCTCAACGTAAGAGCCAGAAAGGAATCAAAGATGACACATTTGACTACTGTTTCTACAGAACCTATCTTTCCAGCTGTTCCTCTCCATTCCTTTGGAAACTGATGTCCAGTTCCTTTGAATACTGGCATTCCCCTCGAGAGTTTCTGCTCTTCTCACTATCCATAAGCAAGCCTATCCTTTCTCACGGCTTGAATTGATGTCTACATATTGATGATTCTGAGCCCTACTCTGCCTTTTGACTTCCAGACACATGTATCCAACGTTTATAAACCATTTTCACTTTGACATTTCTAAGGTGTCAACTAAAACTGAACATGTCATATACCCTCAAAATTTAATTCTCTTATCTCACTAAATGATACCATCACACTATTACCCAAACCAGAAATCTAATATTCTTAATTATTTTCTCCATCTTCCCTTCTCTTAAAACGCACCAATCCAAGACTAAGTCAGGTGAATTCTACCTCCATAATCTCCTTCAGATCTATACATTTTCCTCCACCCTGGCTGCCCCTCACCTATTAACAACTCCCTCATATTTTACCTTCCTCAAATCTGTCTACTATACTGTAGCCAGAATACTTTAATAGCACAGATCTGATCATGTCTCTGCCTTCACTAAAACCTTAATAACTACTAATAATAACTAGCAAAAAGTCTAAACATCCTGACATGATTTATAAAGTCCTCTCAATAGCTACACCTGCTTCTCCAGCCTTATCTCAATTATAATCATATTTGTATTTCCAGATCCTCAGACTTACCCTTTTACTGAAACCAATAATCCTAGTGTGGTAGGAAATTCAATGAAGACAGCTCTCTCTGCACAACTCTGACATGCAGATATTTCAGTTACCATGGTTTAAATAATACCAGTTCCCCCTAAAGAGGATTCAAATTCCAGTTACCATGGTTTATTCTGTAAACCATGTAATTGCATAAAGTAAAACTTCCTTACTAGCTTCTCATATCACAAATCACTACGTAAATAAAAAAATGTGTATCATAATCTGTGACCAGTGACTACTTTCAAAGTTCATTGCCAATTGATCACTGCATGTTACTCAGTTTGCGCATAGAAGGCAAAAGATGTAATTGTGTTGCCTCCTGTCTTCCTGTGATAAATCCATGTGATAGTTTTTTAAAAATGGATTGTAAGAAGAGGGAATTGACAAAAGAAAAAAAGACAAAAGCACAGCAAAAAAACCAAAAGTGGTAACACTGAGAATGCTATTCAAATCTTACATAGATTCTACAAATAGCTGCTGTAATTTACAAAAGAATAAGCAACAACATTGTGACAAAAAGGATAAAGATTGTCCAGAGAAAATGAGGCTGGCAAAAACCTTTGTATTACAGGAACTCAGGTAAGGAAATGGTTGAAAGAGAATTAATAATGTATTTGTGCTCAGGACAAAATAATAATCCTCTTTATAATGCCACACTACCATATTTTGTACGGAGCTACAGATGAGCAAGAAAATCTCATAAAGGAACAAAACTCAAGCTCAGAACCTAAAATAATTTCGTAACAATTTTATGATATTCAAGCACCAGGAAGAGAGGGACAGTATCTTATTTTGCTCTGTATTTCCTCAGTTAGCTTCTGATCCCAGTGATTTGTACACAGTCAACAAGTATTTGTTGTACACCTAAGTGATCAAATTAACTCAGTTTATTACTGGTAAAATGCATGCTGTGCCGAGAAAAGGGGGGATTATGCTGCACTTACCAGGGAAAGTACTGTCTTCTGGATTAATTGAAGCACTAATGCTTCTTTTCAGAAGGCGATAAACACTTGCTGCTGTGAAGCCTGAAAAGGAAATGACAGACTAACTCCATGGGCTCCAGAGTTACATAATCTAGGCTACTCCAATCGCACTATCAGCGACTCTCGGGAACAATATGCTGAATATAAAAGAACTGTGCTCTGTTCAAGTTTTGTTATCGCAAATCCAAAGCAAGCAGAGAAATAGGAAACACTCCTGGTTTGTACATGCTAGCCACATAACACTATCCAAAATCCCCCCCAAAGAATGATCATGCCGAAAAGGGAAACCCTGTCACAATACCCTACGTCCAACCACATACACTTCCTCCTCAAAATGCCAGCTCGATCAAAACAAACAAACAAAACAATGAAACACAGAGTCTATACAGGAGCACCAAAAAAGCAGGGCCATCTCAGTTAAAAATGTGTGATATTCATCATTAGTTTTTTTAACTTATGTGAAGGGTGTGTCCTCCCACGAGGATGCACAATCTAGGAGACTGAGAGCCTTTTCCATCTTGTTCCTTTCTGTGACCTGTTTGCAACACAGGAGGCATCAATACCTATGAAATGCATACGTTTTATTTAAAAGAGAAACCAGGAGTTAATGACTAAAGCACAGCGAATATAGTCAATTACATCTTTACTGTTGCCAAGAACTTCTGGGCGCTGGAATCTCGCATCCACCAATTTGTCCCTATTTTTCCACGAAGATAACGAAACATTTCAGCCCTTATTGCCTCGACCCGTCACAGAGTCGCAGCTTCCCAGGACAACTCGATCTAGTTCCCTTCCCAGCAGAACTAGATCACAAACTTACATTTCTCCTCCCCGCCCCCACCCCCAAGCCGTTCCCGCTCTTTTCGTTCGGGACTCACCGGGCTGCCGCTCGGCACCCTGGGCGGACGACGACCCGGGCCGGTGCTCGGCCTCCCCCCTCGCCGCCGACGGGGCTTTTCCTTCCCCCCAGACGACCAGGAGCAGGTATCGATCCATCTTCCCCGAGCTCAGCCCCAGCTTCAGGGCTCGGATTCCACATCAAAACAGCCGCGCGCCGCGGCGCACTTCCGGCTCCCGCCCACTTAGGTCCGCTGGAAATCGTGCGTCCTCCGTCGGTTTTCCGCGGCTTTTCTAGCAGAGGGCAAACGTGGGGAGTTATTCTCACAGTCGCTGCATCATTTCCTCCTTCGTGACGAAATGGCGATCGTGGGAAGATTGGAGGCGACCCAGGAAAAGCGGAGAAGCGGACAAGCGCTGGCCGGCCTAGGAACTGCCGTGCTAGAGCGGGACGCGTTTCCCGCCCGGACGGTGATGCCGCGGACCGCCTTGGACCCCGGAACTAGGAGGACGGCCCTGCCGGTGGAGAAACATGTCGAGTTTCTCCAGGGCACCGCAGGTGAGCTCGGACTCTGTTGCCTGATGGGATTCATTAGACTGGCAGAAGGAGGTTAGTGGCTCCAGCTGGCGTAGGGAAGCTGAATGGGCAGGGAAGCTGAGTCCTTGGGGCAGAAAGTACCTCCCAGAAGCAGACAGCCCGATCCTCGTCCTGGCCACCGCTTGAATGTGTTCTCTTTGTATTCGTTCCCTCCTCGTTTTGTTGTAACCCAGGAGAGTCATCCTCACTCAGACATCAAGTAATTTTGAATATTAGGAGCTTTATTACCTGCGCAGGGCCTGCAGCCAACCGACACAGAGGAGAACTGCAGCCCCAGCTCAGGGGGAGGGTTGCTTGTATAGGGCAGGGGTTACTCAAGAGTTTAGCAGAGCAAGCAAGCCACGGCTACAGAAGCAGATATCAGCAGTTAGTGGCTGTATAGGTTGTTTATTTTATATTTCTTAACATTTACTAGACCCTAGCCTTGAATGTCTCATTGCCCCGTCTGGCATCTCCTGATTAGTTAAGCTCATGGTCAATACCCCTGTGGTCATGGCTGATGCTTACCTTCCTCTTCAAGAGTTTTTGCAAAAACAACTCGGGTTCAAGGAACCCAGGAGAGGTTCCTTCTTCTAGCGGATGGAGAATTACTGGGTTATAACAGTTTCAGTCATCCCTTAACATGTCTTTTGTACCCGACAGGAGTTTTAGGCGAGAAGGTCAGAGAGTTAATAAGATGAATCACATAGGGCATTGTAGATCATTGTAAGAATTTTATTTTACTGAGTAAAATGAGGACCTATTAGGTTTTTGAGCCAAGGGGTAACATGATCCTAGGTGTTGAAGGGAGCACTCCGGCTGCTGAGTTGAAAGTAGACTAGAGATGGGGATTGGTGGATAGAAGCAAGGTTGCAGTAATCCAGGCTAGCCATGATGGTGGCACAAACCAGGAGAGGAACAGTGTAGTGTGGGAAATGCTCAGGTTCTGTGTGAAGGGGAAGCCATTAGGATTTCCTGAAGGATTGCACGTGGGAGGATAACAAAAGAAGAAGCAAGGATTAGATAAATACAAGAATTAAAATTTAACATTTTAAAACTCGTATAATAGTTTGGCATTGTGGCAGCATCATAATTTTTTATCAAAGTTTTTTTTTTTTTCCTGTAAAAGTATTGGTCTACAATGGATTGGGGAATGAACTAGTCTTTTGTTACATATGGTTTAAGAAGCACTGAAGTGCAGATGTTAGAGGGCAATTGGATCCAAGTGTAGAGTTCAGGAAACAGGTCCAGACTAGAGACGTAAATTTGGGAGTCATCAGCATACATATGGCATTTAAAGGTGTGGGTCTGGATGAAGTCTTTGAGGAAGGGAAGAAAAGAGAAGAGGACCTATAACTGAGTTCTGGAACATTTCAACATTTAAGAGGCTTCGGATAACGGGAGAACCAACAAAGTGGGGGATAAAAACAACACAGGGTGGTGTCCCAGAAATCAAGTGAAGAAATACCGAGGAGAGGGAAATGACCAACTGCATGGAGGACTTAGAATTGACATATGGATCTAGTGGCGTGAAGGTCATGCTACCTTTGTCAGGCAGTAGAGTGATAGTGACGTGTGGGAGGACAAAAGCCAGGTTGGAGTAGGTTGAAAAGAGAATGTGGAGAGACAAATTGGAGTGAAGGCAAGGGGAGGAACGAAATGAGGCAGTAGCTGGTGGAGAAATGAGATCAGGAGTTGCTTTTTAAAAAAATGTATGCAGAATTTCAATTATATATAAAAGTAGATATCATCTACTATCAGAAAAGACATAACCAATATAACTTCATCTGTACCCCCATTCACTTCCTTTTCTTTTTTATGAATTTGAGGTAAAGTTCAGACTTACTATTTCATGAGTAAATATTTCAATATATTCTATGTAAGGTAAGGATTGAAAAAACAACAACAACAATCATCCTGGCTGGTGTTGTTCAGTGGTTGGCCACCTCCTGCATGCTCCCTACTGGGGATTTGGCCCACAACCTGGGCATGTGCCCTGACTGGGAATTGAACTGGTAACCTATTGGTGCATGGGTTAATGCTCAACCACTGAACCACAACAGCTGGATAAGTTGCTGTTTTTTTGTAAGGCTCTCTTAATACATAGGTTCCTATTCCCTTCTTTTCCTTTGCAATTTATTGAAGAAATAACATTGTCCTGTAGAGTTCCTGCTGTTTGAATTATTTTATTAGTTCATAAACTGAGAGTGGTAGGGAAAGGATGTGGACTAGAAGTTGCCTATAGTTGCAAAAGGCATGATCATCTGTGTAAAAAAAAAAAATCGGAATCTACTAAAAGCTACTAGAATCAATACATGTCTTTAGCAAGCTTGCAGGATATAAGACCAATATACCAAAGTGAAGTGTATTTCTGTATACTAGCAACAGACAATCAGACATTTAATTAAAAATGCAATACCATTTACAGTGGCATCAAAATATATAAAATAGGGATACATCTGATAAAAGCTATGCAAGTGGAATGAAATAGAAACTAAAAAAATGAGAACAGGAGAAAAAGAGAATTGCTAAGCAGTTTTATAGGCTGATTTGAGGTTGGTGATCATTACATTTAAAATAAAACCAACTAGCCCAGCTGGTGTGGCTCAGTGGATTAAGCATGGTCCCATGGACTGAGAGGTCCCGGTTCAATTCCCGGTCAGGGCACATGCCCGGATTGCAGGCATGCAAGAGGCAGCTGATCGATGTTTCTGTCTCTCCCTAAAAAACTAGTAATAACATATTTTTAAAAAATTTAAATTAAACCAGCTAGCCTAGTTGTATTTTTCCCAGCATTGTCTAGCTGCTGGGCTGTGAGTGTCTTAGAGTTTAAAGGCACTGATGGGCACTGAAAAAATGGTGGTCTGTGCCTGAGGCAGCCTGAATATATCTAAGGCAGTTTTTTTAAATTGAGGTTTATTCAACATCATTCATCTGTACTTTCCCAGCTACATTCTGCTATTTAGCTTTTCCTTTGAATTAAACTCCTGAATAGTCTTCAGTTCCTAATCAGCCATTCATCTTTCAATGTAATGTGTCTACTAATATCAAAATATTTTTGAAGACCTTCATAAACAACTACTTCACACGTGCTTCTTATTACCATTCCAGATTCTATGTTATGCGATATAAAAAACATGTTATGATGTAAAGGGAAATAAATCTTTGGAATGTTTTGAATAAAGCATGATGCATATTACTAATAGAAAAGCAGGCAGGAAAAATGATCACATTAATCTTTGCAAAATAATGAGAAAAGACCCTCCCTTTTCAGAAAGAGAAATAAAAACAAAACAAAAATTGTTTAGTGATAGGATCGTTTTTAAAAGTAATTATTGATATTGACCATAGAAAATATGATATATAATAATAATTTCTATTTTAATTAAAATTTTGTTTCTTTTGTTTTTTTAAGCAATGGGCCACTTTTGCTCGAGTTTGGTATCTCTTAGATGGGAAAATGCAGCCCCCTGGCAAAATTGCTGCTATGGCATCGATTAAACTTCAAGGACTGCATAAACCTGTGTATCATGAGCTGAGTGAGTATCATTTTAGACCTGCATTAATAACCTCAATTGACATAGTAGAATAGAATCTTGAAGTAGTTTGGACTGTTTCTAAGGGCCTCTTTTTTTCCTGATGATTCTTTATTTCGTTCTCGCAAAAAACCTACTAGAGCACTAAAATGAATCTGGCTTATTCATAGGAAAACCATGCAGACCAGTTTGCCTGGGACAGTCCCATTTTACACCATTACCCCAGCAAAATTGTCAGTAGCCCCTTCTTTCACACTCAGAAATTATTATAGGTAGTTTTAACCTAGGCTCATCAGTATTCAACCTGCGAGATCCAGGTGTCAATTCTTCCTCATCCTGCTTGACCTGTTAACATTTGTTGTGCTTGATCACAATTTTAACTTTTTATTTTGTAGCATGAAATATACAGAGATAGAAATGTATCTATCTATATAAATATAGGTATTATTTTAAAGAAAATTAGCAGTGGTAATGAACTCAATACCCATGGACTCAGCATTTGGGTTATTTCCAACTTTTTTGCTATTATAAACAACATTGTTGTCAATATTCTTGTATGTTTTTCCTGGTGCTCACATGGGAGAGTTTCTCTGATATCTCAAAAAGACAGGAATTTCTGGGTTTCGAATTGCTTTGGGAAGCTAGTTAGCCTTTATGCCAATGTCCTCTCCTGCCAACAGATGTCAGAGTTCCTATTGCTTGTCATCTTCAGTAACACTTAAGATTTTCATTCTTTGTAATTTTGACTATAGTATATGTGAAATGCTCTCTCTTGATGGTTTTAATTTACATTTTCCTGATTACAGATGGAGCTGTATCTTCATTTGTTTATTAACCTTTTATTATTTCCTCTTCTGTGAAATATGTATGCATGTCGTTTGCCTATTTTTTTTTACTGGGTTGTTTGTCCTTTACTCTTTTCCTAACTTTTACTATGAAAGTTTTAACTTTTTCAGAAATGTTCAACATAGTACAGTGACATTTTTTTATACCCTTGACTTAGATTACATAGTTGGTAACATTTTATCATATATCTTTTACTCAATCATTTGAAAACAAGTTGAAGATGTTATTATCTTCCCTAAATACTTTAGCATACGTCTCCTAAGAAAAAATATATTTCCCTACGTAACCAAAATGCCATCATCACACCTAAGCAAATAAATAATTTACTTATACAGTTTAATATCCAGTGCATTTTCAAAGTTCCCTAGTAGTCTCAAGAATTTTTTTTAGCTATTACTTTTTTGAACTATGGTCCAACCAGGGTTTATGTATTGCCCTTAGTTGTTATGGGGTGTTTTTTTTTTTTAGTGTCCTTTAATCTTGTCCTTTTCTTATTTTTTTCTTCCCATTAATCTTGTGAGGAGTCCAGGTTAATTTTCAGGTAGAGAACATTCTTAAAACACATGCTTTGTTTTTTATGTGGGGTACCTGTTTCTTCCCCTCTTGCTAATTCCATTTTTACATTTCCCTTTTGCGCTCTTCGACTTTCTAAACTCCCAGTCATCTTGCTCCCACTAAAAATTGGGCGTGTCCCAGAGCTCCATCCTTGGACCTCTTCACATTCCTTAAGGGATCACATTTAGTCTCATGTTTCTAAGTACAGGGTGGGGCAAAAGTAGGTTTACAGTTGTGAGTACGAGAAACACAGACTTTATTCTTGTATCATGATTTATTAGTTATCGTATTGTTTTCCATACATACAACTGTAAACCTACTTTTGACCCATCCTGTATACTCTGTATGCTAATGGCTCCCAAATTTATGTCTCCAGTTTGCCCTTTTCCCTGTGTTCCAGACTCATAGAGCCAAATTTCTACTCAGAAAAATCTTGGGTGTTTAATAGACATCTGCAATAGAATAAGTCCATTTGAAGATGTTTTATGTTGTGATTTTCTCCCCCCAGACCAGTCTGTTCCTTCCAGTTTTTCCCATCTCAATTAATAGCATCTCTGCTCTTTTAGTTACTCTAGTTGGAAGTCTTTGCTTCATCTGTGACTCCTCTTTGTTCAATTCCATGTACACAGACATGTTTCTGAAATCTGATCAACTCTCATTCTCTCCCTTACCTCTAATTTTATTTATTTATTTATTTTTTTATCCTCACCCGAGGACATTTTTCCATTTTTTGTACAGATAGAGTGGGAGGGAGAGAGAGGAAGAGAGAGAGAGAGAGAATCATCGATGTGAAAGGGACACATCGAGTGGCTGCCACCCGCACGACCAACCAGGGCCAGGGACAAACTGCAACCGAGGTACATGCCCTTAGCGGGAACCGAACCGAGGTCTCCGGACCGCAGGCCAACGCTCTAACCACTGAGCCAAACTGGCCAGGGCTTACCTCTAATTTTAAACCACTGTATTTACTCTCTATCCCAGATTATTCCAAAAGCCTCTTCACTTATCTCCCTGCTTCTACTACTGCCTGCTAATGGGTATTTTCTTCATAAATCAGCTACAGTTACCTTTTTCCCAACTGAAAGTCAGATTAAGAGCCAAAGTTCTCCCAAATGCCCTACAAGGACCTACATAATGTGGTCTGTGCTACCTCTGTGAGTTTTTTCCCACCTCTCTGTACCTTCAGTAATTTACTCGGGCATCCCACTGTCCCATTAACTTACCTGTCAGGCATAGTTTTGCCTTAGGACCTTTCCACATTTGCTCCCTCTGCCTGGAATCTCTTTCTCAGATTTCTCCATGGCTGACTCCTGCTCATCTTCAGATTTCTGTTCACCAGCTTTCTGAGAGCAGCCTCTCCTAATTACTTCATCTGCTTGCCATTTTACTGTGTATCTTTACCTTGCCTTTTTAAAAAAATTAGTATTCATACCCGGCTGGTGTTGCTCAGTGGTTGAGCATTGACTCATGCACCAAGAGGTGACCGGTTCAGTTCCTGGTCATGGCACATGCCCAGGTTGTAGGCCCAATCCCCAGTGGGGGGCATGCAGGAGGTGGCCAATTGATGTTCTCTCTCATCAGTGTTTCTATCTCTCCCTCCCTCTTTCTCTCTCTCTAAAAATCAGTAAAGAAAAAAAAAACTAGCATTCACTTCTCACCTGACTTGTTATATAAATGTTTGTTATCCACCTGCTTTCATTAGAATTCCATGAGGACAGGAACGTTGCCTGATATTTTTCACAGCTGTATCTCTTGTGCCTATAATAGTGCTTGACACATAGTTGGAGTTCCATGACTGTTTGTTGAGTGACTATATGCGTTCACGAATACCAGTTTTGAAAATGAAGATATTACTTTTAACTAGGGCCATGGCATTTAAGCTAAATTAGATTTTTGGACTTGTGGTGTGAGGGGAAGGAGTTTTTCAGGTGGTTTGATTTGAGTAAGAGCAAGGAGTTTTGATTTCTCCTACTATACTTTCTGCTCTAACCTTTTTTCTTTTCTTTCTTTTTTTTTTATCCTCACCCGAGGACATTTTTCCATTTCTTTTTTGTTGTTGTTGTTCAGATAGAGTGGGAGAGAGAGGGAGAGAGAGAGAAACATCGACGTGAAAGGGACACATTGAGTGGCTGCCACCTGCACGACCCAACCAGGGCCGGGGACAAACTGCAACCGAAGTACATGCCCTTAGTGGGAACCAAACCAGGGTCTCTTAGGACCGCAGGCTGACACTCTAACTGCTGAGCCAAATCGGCCAAGGCGCTAACCTTTTTTCCTAATAAACATTTCAGTTAGGTAAGCTGACATCCTATAAAACCTGTAGGTGTAGAATGTGATTCTAAGGATTTTATCGTGTTGATATGTTTTTCAAGCACTTGGTGCAATGTCTGGTCCATAATAGATGCTGTCAGAAATATTTTCTGGAATGTCACTTTTAATCAGATCTTTTGTAAGGATAGTCAGTTTTTATTATTCATAGCAGTGACTTTCTTTAAAGTCACCATGAATGCTGAGTTAGTAAACACTGAACTATTGCATCTAGGGAGGACACTCAGTTCACTAACTCGTACTGTCCAGGTGCATACAGTTCTTAAAGGTTAATGCTGTTAATGCTAGGATACCAAATAATGCAACAAAAATTAGATCTAATTTAATCATTGGTATCCTGTCTTGTATTATTTCTTTAAATCTTTTAAGGACTTGTTAGAAAGAAAAAAAAAACATTTATGATGCTCTTCTTAAAGTTACCCAGTTTGCACATTTTTCTCCTACTATTCTGTTAAGTGTCAATCTATTTCAAATGTTAATTGTATTATTTTAATTTTGCAGTCTTAATTTTGCAAATAAATTCAGCTTTAGTAGAAAGTTAAAAGATTCCATTTTCCCTTTAAATAGGTGTCATGGAAAGAGCCTGGACAGGGTTTAAGTAACTTATTATGTGAGTTTTTGCCAAACCACTTCATCTCAGTGAGCCTTCGCTGCTTTAACTGCATGTCTGGCTGAAAGCGAAGGTATTTCAGCATGCTTTGAAACTGTAGGTATCTGGTCAGCCTCTTCATTTATCTTGGTTCGTTTGCCCCAACGGCCTTAGTAGCCCACCATGTGTCACATTTAGGAACTATAGTCTCTTAATGCACCAAATACTGTCAAACTATTTATTTCAACACACTATCAGCAAGCTTCCTAGGTTTCTCCTTTACACCTCTGGATGCCCTTTCTCTCTGGTGAGGAAAACCCACCTGCTTGTCCTCTTGCCTTTACCCCGTCCTGCCTGGGCTGTGACCTTCTCTCAGAAAAGTCTGTCATCCAAATTCTGAGCTCTTACAGAGTCACAGAATATAATCTTTAGTTTCATATACTGTGTTTATTTATACTTTTTATTTTTCACTGGTGTTTTTCTTAAATAAATAAGCTTCTAGAATCTTGTGAAGTTTGTTTTTTATTCAGTAGAGTAGGCATTTAATAAATGTTTTTGATTACTTTATTTTTTCATGTATTAGTAACTTGTGAAAACTTACATGTTTACTTTTGTGGGTTTTGGCTTTTTTTTTTTAGAAGAACAGCCAAATTTAGGGATATTTTTTCACTGGGAAATTCATCTAATACATATATTTTAATTTTCAGGTCATCCTGTCCCGAACCTGGCTAATATGAATGGAAGTTTAAATTTAACCAGTTAAATATGGTTGGAAAAACCTTGGATTAGTAGTTAAGCATAAGATCAGAGAACCCTATTCTCCAACTTTGAGGAAAAGAATAAATTGTGATGTTTTACATTTGTTTTCAATTTACCTATTGGCAAAATATACTTCTTTTATAACTATATGCATATTGTTTTCATTTTCTCTTCTGTTTTTAAGGGAAATTTTATACTAGATATTTAAAAGTACTTAATATAAACATTTTTAGTAAAGTGTAATTGTTAATAGGAAGATCTGAGAGAAATAACAGTAGTTTGACTTTAAAGATGTATTGTTAGTATTGGCGTCGTTATTAAATTCTCTTTTACCTTCAGTGTTGAGATTTTCCAAATGGCTAGCCAACTCTTTCTATACTTAGATGTTCTATAAAGCAGTAACAGAAATCTGTTTAAAGATTTTGATGTTGCATTGTGACTTGCTTTATATTTTTAATGTGTTGCTTAGACTTTAATAAGCTTTATAAATAATCAAGGACACATTTTCTTAAAGCCACGATTTTTCACATAAAATTCTTCTTTTTAAATCTAGGTGACTGTGGCGATCATGTTGTCATCATGAACACAAGGCACATTGCGTTTTCTGGAAACAAATGGGAACAAAAAGTGTACTCTTCACATACTGGGTAAGAGGTGCCGCTGTTATGGAAGACAGGCAGTGGGAATGTATTACACCACTGATCTTACTTAAAAAAAATTTTTTTTTAATTCGGCATTTAAGAAAATACTAATTTTACTCATGCTACGTATATAATTTACTCAATCAAAAAAACACAAACCTGAACCAAATCTTAACTACAATTTATTTGTTTTTCCTGGAACCTTTCCACTAAACCTCTCTGATCAAGATTATTCTCATTTTCTAGCCAATCTTCTCACCTCTTTCTTTCTGCTTCCTGTAATTCATCTGCTGTTTCCAGAACCATCCTGAACATCTGAAAGTACTCGAGATGTTTTAGTGGTGAGCAATATCCTAAATTTGGAAGATACCTAAAATGTCCTCAACATACCTTTCAAGTTGCAGGTCTCTCTGCCTATGTTTGAATAATGTCATTCTCATAGCTCATAAGGCAGCCCATTTATTTCACCTTTGAAATGGCCTAAAGTTTAGTAAGGATTTTATGCTATTCAGTCATACTGTGTTTTTCTCTAGCTTTCACACTGGTCTTATTTTTTTCTCTTTGGGACAGTGTAAAATAACTATATCTCTCCCAGATAACATTCTTCAAGTAATTTTGAGACCGTGATCAACAGGTACCCACTGGTTTGTCTTCCCTGAGCTGTAAACATCTGGTTCCATCAAGTTCTTTATAGTGCTTCAATTCAGATATCCCCAATGTACCTTGGTCACTCTTTTCTAGATAGAATTATTTTTTGTTTCTCTGTTCTGTTGACTCTTTTTTTTTTTTAGTATCTTATTTTTTTAATCTTTATTGTTGAATATAGAATGTATTGGAGATGTTCCTCATTTTTCCCCCATTGACCCCCTCCTCCCCACTCCCGCCTCCCCCGCCCCCGCCCCCGCCTTTTCCCACACTATTGTCTGTGTCCATTGGTTATGCATATAAGTTCTTTGGTTTATTTCTTCCCACCCACTCCCAACCCCTTTCCCTTTGAAGTTTGTCAGACTAGCAATGAATTTGTACTTCTTAATCCCTTCACCTTTTCACCCATTCCCCCAACCCACCTCCCATCTGGCAGCCAACAAAATGTTCTCTGTACCTATGAGAATGTTTCTGTTCTACCTGTTCATTCTGTTTGTAGATTCCATTGTTGATAGATATGTATTCATTGCCATTTTGTTTCTTCATGTATTTTATCTTTTTCTTCAAAAAGACCCTTCATCATTTCATATAATAACGGTTTGGTGGTGATGAACTCCTTTAACTTTTTCTTGTCTGGGAAAGTCTTTATATGGCCATCGATTCTAAATGACAGCTTTGCAGGATAGAGTAATCTTGGTTGTAGATTCTTGCTTTTCATCACTCTGAATATTTCTTGCCACTCCCTTCTGGCCTGCAAAGTTTCTTTTGAGAAATCAGCTAACAGCCTTATGGGAACTCCCTTGTAGGTAACTAGCTGCCTTTCTCTTGCTGCTTTTAAGATTCTCTCTTTGTCTTGAACCTTTTGCATTTTGATGATGATGTGTCTTGGTGTGGGCCTCTTGGGGTTCATCTTGTTTGGGACTCTCTGTGCTTCCTGGACTTGTATGTCTGTTTCCTTCACCAAGTTAGGAAAGTTTTCTGCCATTATTGTTTCAAACAGGTTTTCGATTTCTTGTTCTCGCTCTTCTCCTTCTGGCACCCCCAAGATGCGAGTGTTGGCACGCTTGAAGTTGTCCCAGAGTCTCCTTACACTATCGTCATTGTTTTGGATTCCTTTTTCTTTTTGCTGTTCTGATTGGGCGTTTTTTGCTTCCTTATGTTCCAAATCGATGGTTTGCTTCTTGGATTTACGTACTCTACTATTGAAGCTGTGTAGATTATTCTTTATTTCAGTTCATGCCTCCTTCATTTCTGACTGTGCATCCATCATTTCTGACTGGTCCTTTATTATGTTCTTGAGGCCCTCACTAAGTTCATTGAGCATCCTTATAAGCAGTATTTTGAACTCAGCATCTGTTAGGTTGCTTATCTCCATTTCGCTTAGTTCTTTTCTTGGGGTTTTGTTCTGTTCTTTCATTTGGGGCCTGTTTCTTTGTCTCCTCATTTTGGCTGCCTCTCTGTGTTTGTTTCTGTGTATTACTTAACGAGAGGTATGGGGCTATCTGAGACCAGATGCTGTTTGTTTGAAAGAATTTAGGAAAAACCTGAAGCAGGATCCAAGACAGGCCAATCCTATGGTTAAGCAAGTGGCAATAGCTTGGGTGGGCCTGAAAGTTGGGTGGGACGGGGCCTCAGGGAGTCAGCAGGGCGGGGCTACCAGTGTGAGCCGGGTTGCTGGAGTCCCACATATGGCGGCTCTCTGCCGACCCAGGGAAGGGCTCACCAAAGGAACAAAGGCCTCTGACAGCACGTTTGTCCCCGAGAAGGCCCCCTCTCCAGCCCTCGCTCCAGTGCCAAACAGCTCAGTTCTTCCCTGTATGTCTCTGGCGCCCCTCGAGCTGCCTCCCCTCCGAGCTTAGAGGGAGAGAGTCCGATAAGTCCGTGCGCGGGCCCTTTAAGGAGCTGCCTGGGGCTCCAGCCGCTTCAGCCCCCCTGAGCCTCAGTTCCTGCTGGTTTTCCAGCCAGAAGTGATGGGGATTCTCTTCCTGGCACTGGGATCCTGAGCGGGGCGCCTGGTGTGGGACGGGGACCCCTCAGTCCTCAGGAAGGACCTTCCCGGCCGAGGTGTCCTGATTTTTATCCGCCACACTTGGGTGTGGGACCAGCCAGTCCTCCGCCGCCCCTCGGGCCTCCGCCCCTCCTACCAGTCTGGATGTGGCTGCTGCTTTAATTCCGTAGTCGTAGGACTTCCATTCAGGATGATTTCAGGATGATACAGAGAACATTTTGTTGGCTGCCAGATGGGAGGTGGGTTGGGGGAATGGGTGAAAAGGTGAAGGGATTAAGAAGTACAAATTCATTGCTAGTCTGACAAACTTCAAAGGGAAAGGGGTTGGGAGTGGGTGGGAAGAAATAAACCAAAGAACTTATATGCATAACCAATGGACACAGACAATAGTGTGGGAAAAGGCGGGGGGCTGAGGGGGCGGGAGTGGGGAGGAGGGGGTCAATGGGGGAAAAATGAGGAACATCTATAATACATTCTACATTCAACAATAAAGATTTAAAAAAAGAAAAGAAAAAGAAAAGCCAGATATCTCTGCAAATCATTGGCGTCCATTTACCACTGCTGCTTCATGATCCTTCATTTTTGCTAGCATATTGCTATTTCTCACCTCTCTGCCTTTGCATGTGTTGTTCTCCTTAACAGGAATGTTTCTCAAGAACTCTCCTAGTTGTCCATTAAAACCTGCCTCAGAGGTCACCTCTTCTGGCATGCCGTCCTCCACAGGGTCTATTGCTTCTTCTTCCTCTGTTTCTGTTGACTCTTGACTTACACTTTGTACATACTACTTTTATTATGCTCCCAATACTTTATTGCAATTATGTATTTAAAATTTAATTTTCTAGTTATAAAATTTTTAATGCATGCTAATAATAGAAAATACAAAGATGTTTAAAGAAGAAACTGAAAAATCATCCTTCATCCTTTGACTCAACATTTTAATATATATAATTTTATATCTTTATTTATTTAGGATTCTCAGAGAGCCCTTTTATAAGGGTGGTTTCCAGTCACTCAGTAGTAATGCACAATATGATTTACCCTACTTAATCACTGCTCTACTTTGAAATTAAAATTCTGACTTTTATAAAGAACTGGAAAATAAGCCAACTGAATGTTGTATTATTCAAGTTGTTTCCCTACTTAGAATTTTATAGTAGCTCTTCAAATTTTTCATTATAAAGTCCAAACTCCTGAAATATAATATAAATTATATTTATGCTTTAGAATTTGCCATGCCAGTGTTAAAAATAGATCATCTTTAGCATAGAAGGTGTAAAGTATTTTTTTTCCATGGAGAGAAAGAATACAGGAACAGAAGTCTAGACAGGTGTTTCTTTTTCTGAAGCTGAAATTCCATTTTGAAATAAATGAAAGAATTTCAGTTTGAAATTTATTTTTCTCAGCAAACTTTTAAATATGCTTTCTTAAAATTTATTCCTAAAAGGTGCTTCTTTCAATCACCTTAAAATGTTTTTTAATTCTCGTTGAAAAGATTACCTAAACCAGATTTAGGTAATCTTAAACTTTTCTTGCAGAGTTCACTGATTCTGCATTTTTTTCATTCCTTGGAAATCATGTAGGCTTTATTCATTCATTCAGTGTAATAAAACCTTACATCTGAATATTGTGTTTGTTTTAAATTTCTTAAGCACTTTCACAAACATTTTCTCAACTGACTCTCATAAAAACCTTGAGAGGTAGATGGGGCAGATACCATTTTTCTTTTCTTTTTTTTATCCTCACCCGAGGACACTTTTCCATTTTTTGTACGGATAGAGTGGGAGGGAGAAAGAGGAAGAGAGAGAGAGAGAAACATCGACGTGAAGGGACACATCGAGTGGCTGCCACCCGCACGACCAACCAGGGCCGGGGACAAACTGCAACTGAAGTATGTGCCCTTAGCGGGAACCGAACCCGGGTCTCTCCGGACCTCAGGCCGACGCTTTAACCGCTGAGCCAAACTGGCCAGGACCTATTTTTCTTATATAAAGAGGTAAAATGAGTTGCCTAGTGTTATACTTGTAGCCATTAGCAAATCTAGATTCCAGACCTTAATCTAGGGTATTCAAGTTACTAAGCTGCCTCCAGTATTATCCCAAATATACATATATACTTTAATCCCTAATTTATCCATTTTATATAAACTTTGATCTGAACACAATAATGAAATTTTTTTTTTTATCCTCACCCGAGGTTTTTTTTTTTTTTTTTTTTTTTTTTGCATTTATCTTCAGATAGAGCAGGAGGAAAAGAGGGAGGAAGAGACAAAAACACTGATGTCAGAGAGACACGTTGACTGGTTGGCACCCACACGACCCCGGCCAGGGCCAGGGACAAACTGCAACTAAGGTACATGCCCTTAATGGGAACCAAACCCAGGACTCTGGTCTGCGGGCTGATGCTCTAACAGCTGAGCCAAACCAGCCCAGGGCCACAATGAAATATTTTATTACTTAGGACCAACATATAACTCTTAGCTAATAAGACACGATCATGACCTGTTTAGAGTTTGAACTTAACTTCAGAACCAGATGGTCTACTGTTGTTTTTCCCAAACTTGACCACTCACTTAGACAGACATTTAGTCTAATTTGACAGGGAATGTGAAACATTTCGATCATTGCTTTTTCTTTCTTAATTCAAACGGTGATAAATCACCCCAGAATGAATAAATGAATGAATGGTGAATAACTTTGAATTTCAATAGAAATATAAGTAGTTATGCCAAGAAATTTTCTAAGATGTGGAACTTTTTGTGAAATAATGATAATTAACTACATAAGAGAATAGTATTTTAAATAGTATAGGCTACTACTTCATTTTTAAGATACTAATGAATGGCATAGTTTCCAGAAATAAGTATAATTTTATAATAAAAATAGTTTTTATATTATAAAAGAATATTCAGGAATACTGTTCTATAGCCTACCTCCAGTTTTAATGTCTTTGCTTCTTTTGAATAGTTACCCGGGTGGATTCAGACAAGTAACAGCTGCTCAGCTTCACCGGAAGGATCCAGTGGCGGTAAGTCTGTCGTATTTTTTCTTATTTTTCATCTGTGGAAAGACTGGTTCAGACACTGCTTTTTCACTCTTTTTCCTCTTCTAATGTAGCTACCATTCAAGGCTATAAATTCTTCCCTTTAACTGTACCACACAAGCTTTGATAAGTGTTATTGCATTATCATTCAATTTTATATATTTTTAAATTACTATTTAGTATGTTTTGCATTTAGTTAAAGAATTTTGATGCGTTTGAAAAAATTTCCTGACACCTGCATGATTACCTAAAATATGATATGTTTGCTAGAAATATCTTGAGACAGATGTATATATATCCATTACAACATATATACTGTGTTTTTTCAGTCTTATAGTCTTACTGACTTTTCTTGTTCGCTTGATTTATTGCTTGCCTGAAAGAGCTATATTAAAATTTCAATTGTGGATTTGTTAATTTTTTCTTGTAGTTCAGTCTGCTTTTGCTCTGTATGTTTTAAAGGTTTAGCATTAAATACATTTAAGTTTAGAATTATAATCTTCCTAAATAATTGATCAGGGTATGTACTCACCCTCTTTATCTCCAATAATGCATTTTAATTTGAGGTCTACTTTTTAAAATATTAGTATAGCTATATCAACCTTCTCTTGATAACATTAGCCTAACCTAACATTTTACAGTTTAAATTTTATTGAGCTAGATTTTAGTTTCTTTTTTTCTCCCCTTCTTTCTTACCTTTTGGATTGGTGGAGTTATTAGAAGTCTAAGATTAATCAATAGATTTACTTTCTTTCAAATCAAATCAAGGTCCTTAGAAGGTTTTTTTTTTAATCCTCACATGAGGTCATTTTTCAATCTTTGTTCAGATTGAATGGGAGGGAGAGAGAGAAAGAAACATCAATGTGAGAGGGACACATCAATTGGTTGCCTCCTGCATGACTCCAACCAGGGCCTGGGATGAACTGCAACCATGGGACGAGCCCTTGACTATAATTGAACCCGCGACTCATCAGTCCGCGGACCAATGCTTTAACCACTGAGCCACACCGACCAGGGCAGGTCCTTAGAAGGTTGTTAACACCCACTCTCCCTCACAATCAGTATGCTTTTCCTGTTCAAGATTTTTTTAAATTAAATTTATTGGAGTGGCATTGGTTAATAGATTCATATAGGTTTCAAGTATACATTTCTAGGATATAAGATCTGTATACTGCATTGTGTACCCACCACCCAAAGTCATGATTTTTAACAATCCTTCCAATTCGACATTTATCTTATTGTTTTATACAATTACTAGTTTTTTATTATTTATCTTTGCTTAAAATCCCTTCATGTAACTCAGCCTTCCTTCCCGGTTCAGTTTTCCTCTTGAAGTAGTACTTCTTATTGATGTTCCTATCTTAACATTCTCTTAATAGTGACTTCTCCTTTTTTGTCTGAAACTATCTTTATCTTGGTGTTTATGCTTGAAATACAGTTTTGCTTAATTACACAGTACTAGGACAACCATTTTTTTGTTTTAAATCCTCACCAGAGGACAGTTTTTGCATTTATCTTCAGATAGAGTGGGAGGGGAAGGGGAGAGAAACAGATGTGAGAGAGACACATCGACTGGTTGCCACCCGCATAACCCTAACCAGGGTGGGGACAAACTGCAACCGTGGTATGTGCCCCTAGTGGGAACCGAACCTGGGACTCTCTGGTCTGTGAGCCTACACTCTTACCACTGAGTCAAACCAGCCAGGGCTAGGATAACCATTTTTTTCTCTCCGCTTTCTCAAGCTATAATTTAAATAGATTTTAGTGTCTGTTTTGCTGTTGTTAAGTTGGATGTCTGCTGTTTCTTTGTATGTATGCTGTCTTTTCTTTCTGGATATTTTTAAGATATTTGCTTTGGCTTTGGCTTTGGCTTTTATGTTGCTTTTCAGATCTTGTTATTTATTTGTGTATCTGTGTATTTATGTATTTATTTATTTAGTCCTTGACTGAGGATATGTTTTTGTTTATTGATTTTTCTGTTGCCTCCTGTACTTGCCCTTGACCGGGAATTGAATCCACAACCTAGGTTTGTGCCCTGACTAGGGATCGAACCTGCCACCTTTTGGTGTATGGGACAACACTCCAACCAACTGAGCCACCTGGCCAGGGTTGTTATTTATTTTGTTTGAGGATTGTTGTTTTCAACTCCCTTTACTCTTTATCTGTTTTTCTCCTTTAGAAGTCTTACGATATGTGCACTAGAGTGTCTCACTTGATTGTGCATGATGTATTCGCTTTCTTTTGCATTTTATGTCTCCCTGTCTCTGCGGCTTTGTCAATAATTTCTTTAGATTATGTTCTTGTTCTCTATCCTTTCACCTATGTTTAATCTGATTAACCCTTTTATTGGGTACCTAGTTTCAATTATTTTTCTTAAAGTTTTTTTCAAGTTTGCCAGTCAGTTTTGATAGTCTTTCTGCTCCTTTGTCATATTTTGGTTCCCTCTTATTTTTCTTTAAGTATATTAAACATGATTCTTAGCATTTATATTTGATTGTAATATTTGTGGCCTTTTTGACTCTAATTAATTGTTTCTGCCCGGGATACTTGGTAAGCTCAGGTACCCTGAAACTTCATCTCTGGGAATTCTTTGAAACTTATTTTGAAAATGAATTTCTTCAAGAAAGATTTACCTAGCTTCTGGCAGGTGCATGGGGCTCTTTGAGGTATACTTTATACTTTTGGGTTTTCTAAGACCTCTTTAAGCTGTACTTTAGATTTCGATCCCCATAAAAGGGTGAACTGGGGGCCTCAAAGCCTTGTGAGTTCAGGCTTATAGTTAGCAGTTACCTACCAGGAAAGGCTTTTTTTTTAATTTTAATTTCCTCACTCTATCCTTGGATGTTGCCTTTCTATAGAAAATCTAGGTTTATGAGGGAGTCTTTGATCCTCCCTCCTGACCCCAAAATATTAGTCCTTTAAACCCAAGCCCTGCACCAAGACAATGCCCTCAGGGCGAATGCCAGTCTCAGGACTCTTTCTTGTAGTGTTTCTCCTCTTTCTGGCCCTGATTGATTCCATGCTTTAAGAAATATTTTTTAAACAATATAATTAACTTCACTAATGTGTATTTTATCATTTGAGTTATATACTGGGAGACATTTCTAAACCTAATATTAGCCCTCAGTGTTGCTAAAAGCCATATCTTGTTGCCCCTTAACAATTTCACTTTTCTTTCCTTAACTCTTTTTAAAATGCAGTCTTTGAACTCTACTTATAGACACATAGCATTTTCCCCATTAGAAACTATTTTAGCTTTTTACCTAAATGCATTTCTAAATGAGCAAAGTACTATACTGTGAAGACATTCTCTTATTTTCCTAAAATGGTCAACAAAATAAATATCTATTGTAGAATGCAACCATTTGTTTGGTGTAGTACTCCCTAAAATTTTGTGGGGCCTGGGGGGGCCATATTTTATTATAATAAGGCCTGGCATAACATTTAGAAGTTCTATGCTTTTCTGTTTATTTTTACTTTATCATTCATATCTGTTTTACAAAAACATACTCAGAGATTGCTTCTTAAGAGATATTTAATGTCTGTTTCATAACTCATTGTTGTTGGACTATTACAGGTCAAAAAAAGTATCCTATTTTGACTGTTAATATACATTACATTTAATGGTGTTAAAAACTTATTAAGGGCTGCTGATATTATATCCATTAACTGTTATAACAAATTACAGTTTTAATATTAAAATATTTTTTAAATAAAAGTGTATATTTTATTCAGGTGTGCTCACTGTACACTAGGAGGCAGTATAGTCTAACTTTTATGTTAAGAATTTGGAATTGAGTAATTTTTTTATAAACAAAGAATGAATGTATTACTATATCTTTGCTAGAGACTTGGAAACTATTTCAGAGTTAAATCCATTTGAATTATCTCATTAAAATATCTTAATTTTTTAAAAAGTCTTAATTTTGACTTCTGTGTTTTGAAAAAGAATGGCATGTGAAGGAAGGGGGCAGTTATTTCACTTCCACTACGTGTTTGTCTGAAGCAGTGCGTTTCTGCTGCAGGTGTTTGCAGATCGGCACCTGGCGTATGCGGCTTGTAAGAATGTGTTTTATAAGGCAGTCTTCTGATTATTTCTACAGTCTTGGAATATTATTTGTAAAATACATAATGCATTTTAATAGTTATTAGGTTATTAAATTTTTTGTAATATTTTAAAACCATGTAGATTATTAATTCTAAACTCAAAGAAATATATTGATTCAGCCCTTTCCTTCTGTTCTTTATCCCTGTGTCATATGTTTTAGTTTCTTTAAGAGCTTTTGTGTCCTTACATTTTTTTTCTAATGTTTTATTTTCCCTATGTTTCTCCCCTCCACCCCATAGTTAGTTGATAAAGGTATTTTGTGTGAATTAAATGGCACATGCCCTGGGTTACCTGTTATCTGAGGAAGGTCTTCAGTATTTATTAACCTCACCTTGTAGCTTTCTCGCTTTCTGCATTCCTTAAAGCGTGTGCTTGTCTGTACAGCTGGGGTTACTTGCTTGCACATGCATGTTGTGTCATTTATTTTGGAGGTATATATGTTTATATATTTGTTGTTTTCTCTCTCCTATCAGCTTGTAACTTTTTCACATTTTCTAGCTTTTCTTAATTTGACTGTTAAGTTTGCTTTTTTTTTTATTTTTTATCTTCACCCGAGGACATTTTTCATATTTTGTTTAGATAGAGTGGGAAGGATAGAGAAAGAGAGAAACATTGATGTGAAAGGGACACATCAGGTGGTTGCTACCCATACAACCCAACCAGGGCCAGGGACAAACTGCAACCGAGGTACACGCCCTTAGCAGGAACCAAACCCAGGTCTCTCTGGACCACAGGCCGACGCTCTAACCGCTGAGCCAAACCGGCCAGGGCTGCATTTTTTAATAAAGCAGATTTTTAAAATACCAACTTGTTCATTCAAGTACAACTAAATTGTTTAATAACTTGGAAACCAAATGCCATGTAATCCTACTAATAGTATAAAATTGCTAAAAGGATGATATTCAGAGGATATAATGACTTACCCAGAAAAGTTGCTGAATAGTCCTAACATTGCCAGTTTCTACATAAGACTTTTTAAACCATTAAACATTGTAAAGGCTAACTTCTAGATCAGTGCTGTCTAATAGAAATCCCTGCCCTGATGGCATGTCCTGTGTCTGCAGTCAGACACGGTCTCCGCTAGCTACACGTGGCACCTGACCACGTAGAAAGTGGCTGTGTGACAGAGGAACTGAATTTTCTATGGCTTTTCATTTTAACAATATCAATCTATATTTAAGTAAAGTCTCCAGAGCATAAAGTATTAACAGCACTAACGTAGAAAATAGATGGAGAATATATATGAGATATTACTAGATTTTATGTGTAGAAAGGTTTTGATGAGAAAATAAATGGAATAGGAAATCCTTTTGTAGTGAAATCCTGTTCTAACATTGTTTTAAGGCATTTAGCTTTTACGCATGTAAAATTATATTCTTGAAGTGTGAGTGCAGATGGTAAAAATCTATATAATACTCCATGCATCTCTCTCAGTAGCTTTGTGAAGAGCTTACCATGCATTTGTATACACTGTGTGCTAGGAGGCCCCCAGGGATTATGGAGCACAGGGTGACAATACGTGGCTTTCTCTTGACAAAACATACATGAAATCACATTAAAACCAACAATGAGGATAACTTGAAAAGGGGAGAAGTAAATCATGGAAAGGTTAGTTTGCCATGTTGGTAATGGGTTGGGTAGAGAAAAGGGACTTTTGTCTTCTTGGTAAGTTATGGAGAGAAACACGTGATAGGTGTGACAGCATGTACTGTGTCTGTTCTGGGAGTTAGACCGCCTGGTTTGTATTCGAGCATGGAACTTACTAGATACATGAAACCGGGGGGTGCTGTAATCCTCCTCGGAGATGAGACTCAGCATCATGAACAAGGTACCAATGCAGTGAATACACTGACCGCTGTACATGCAGCAAGTTCAGCGAATGCTAACTGTTAGCGTGTTGTACACCTGTGACCTTGGGAGTCAGTCTCCTAACCGTAAGGTCAGGCTTAGTTTTTGAGTGGGAAACCTCCTGCTCTCCCACTTGGAAGAAACAGGAGTAAGACCTCCCTAGGTTCTGCTGTGTTCACTACATGGTAAGTTAATTGAGGCGCAGGTATTTTTAAAAGCTCAGAGCAGCGGTTCTCAACCTGTGGGCCGCGACCCCTTTGGGGGTCGAATGACCCTTTCACAGGGGTCACCTAAGACATAACAGTGGCAAAATTACAGTTATGAAGTAGCAGCGAAAATAATTTTATGGTTGGGGGTCACCACGACATGAGGAGCTGTATTAAAGGGTCGCGGCATCAGGAAGGCTGAGAACCACTGGCTTAAGAGAATTTCTTCGTAGTCTAGCCAACACTGGCACGTACGTAGGTTATTTCTAATCTCTTCCTTTTGTCCTTTTTCTAAATAAAAGATAGATAGTCTAGGAATGTATGAAATAACAATGGTTCCTCTTCTTTGGCTGCCACAATCTGCTTGGGTCTCACTGTGTTTCTTTCGTGTTCCTGTTGAGTCGTAGCCCATTTGTTTTCATCACTATCTCTAATTATGTCACAAGTCATATTTTTAAATTTTATTGAGTCCTACATATATGTTTTCCAGATTGTGAAACTAGCTATTTATGGCATGCTACCAAAAAACCTTCACAGGAGGACTATGATGCAGCGGTTACATCTTTTCCCAGATGAGGTAAGCCAGTGGGCATGGTAACGATGCTCTTCCTCGATGTTCAGTTCAACACTTTCTCTTCTTTTAAAACAATTGCCATACTTATTTTCAGTAACTTCATGTCAACCTCTGAAATATTTTCTGTGTTTTACAGTAAGCTCACTATAATAACAGTTGTTCTTATTTTAAATCATAAAGTAAACTATCATTGGACTAAAGATTAAAAGTCCATAATTTCTGGTTTTCATTTTAATAACTGCTTTTTTTGAATAAGGATCTGTGATCAGAGCTCCTGTTGAGGGTACTCATTCATGATGTCATCAACTATAAAAAACTACATTTAGTTTACATTGTATTTGACAGTCGTACAAATTCTATGAATCAAGGATTAATAACTTAGGTTTGGTTGCTGATTAGGTCCCATGATTTAACGTTAGGATACGTGTCCCTATTTAAAAGTATTCATTTAAAAAGTACTTTAAAAAAGTATAAACATTTTTACTTATTGCTTTCCTATTGTATTAAGTATTTAGCTTTTCTCTTTAGTACCATATAATGTAACACTAGAGGTTTTATAATAAAATAGTTGATTCCCGGCTCTGGAATTGGACTGTCTGGATTAGAATCCATGCCCTACCATTTACTGACTTTATGGCAATGGACTAGTTACTTACTACCTTTGTTTTCTCATCTCTAAAGTGGGTATAATAATAGTACCTCCTTCTTATGATTGTTTAAGGGGTAAATGAGATAACGTGTAGAGCACTTAGAGCAGGAAGTGCTACTAACACAGTAAGTGCTACTGCTACCGTGACCATGGTTGTGATTACTGTCCTTGTAGTTCCTACTAGAGGAATAATGTAGAAATGCATTCCAAGATATCAAGTTATATCAACTATTCAAGCCACTGTGTGCTCTATTGTGAGCATAAACAACATGAGCAAATTATTCATGCCTTTATCAAAATGGTTAATGCATTACCTTTGCTTGGTATAAATGAGTTAAATAATTTTCCACTACTCACTTTACCTGGAGGTTTAAGCACAGGCGCAGTGTCATCATCCAAGTATGAATGACCTTTGTGAAATCATAGAATTTAATAACTCCTGTTTCTGATTATATTGTCACATTTTTAAATAAATGATAATTTCTAAAAGACACAAATAATCATATTTATTCCAATTTTAAGGTAGTCAGGTTTGAGTGGAGATGGTTTTTTTTTTTTTTTTTTTTTTTATCCTCACCCGAGGACATTTTTCCATTTTTTGTACAGATGGAGTGGGAGGGAGAGAGAGGGAGAGAGAGAGAGAGAGAGAGAGAAACATCGACGTGAAGGGACACATCGAGTGGCTGCCACCCGCACGACCAACCAGAGCTGGGGACAAACCGCAACCGAGGTACATGCCCTTAGCGGGAACCGAACCCGGGTCTCTCAGGACCACAGGCCGACGCTTTAACCACTGAGCCAAACTGGCCAGGGCGAGTGGAGATGGTTTTAAGTACTCATGGTAGTTTAGTTGAATAGTAAATGACTTAAATAATTTCAGACTATAAAATAAATGAGCCCATTTTCCCAAGAATGGATTGTTAAATATTCATAAGCAAGGCCACTGGGTCACAGGCGCTCATGCATCACTGGCGGGCGGAGCACAGAACGTGCAGCCCGGGGAATCCGGAGCTGGTGGCAGCTCACAGAACACACATGTGAGGAGCTTCCTGCTTGGTCAGCAGTCTCACTTACAGCCATTCAGTCTGGAATATACCGAGTTACTGTTTTTACATTACTTATTGTAGTAAAATAATGGAAATACATAAATGCTTATTCACAGAAAATTGGATAAACTGTGGTATTTATTCAATTGAGTACCATACAGTTGTAAAAACAGAATGACAAATATTAGTGTGACTTGGTAAGGAATGTTTTTCCAGGATATATTGTTAAGTGAAAAAAAGCAGGGTGAAAAAGAATGTAGATAGCATACCACCTTTTGTATGCATATAGTCACACATATGTGTACACGCATTTATACTATACCTGCTTCTTTTGTGTACAGAAATGCAGGAAGGATAAATGAGAAAGTGAAGTTGGTAACTTCATGATGCATGGGCACGAAGATGAAAGGAATAGGGAAGAGGATGACATTTTTTTCTTTTTGGAGAATACCTTTTAGATTATTTTTTTACTTTAACTTTTTTTGTTTGTTTGTTTGTTTGTTTTGTTTTGTTTTGTTTGTTTTTTATCCTCGCCCGAGGACATTTTTCCATTTTTTGTTCAGGTAGAGTGGGAGGGAGAGAGAGGAACAGAGAGAGAGAGAAACATCGACGTGAAAGGGACATATCGAGTGGCTGCCACTCGCACGACTGACCAGGGCCGGGGACAAACTGCAACCGAGGTACGTGCCCTTAGCGGGAACCAAACCCGGGTCTCTCTGGACCGCAGGCCGACGCTCTAACCGCTGAGCCAAACCGGCCAGGGCTACTTTAACTTTTTAAAGATTTTATATATTCATAAAATAAAATGACAGCATGACAGAAGTTAGCACAACAGTGCCCAGATCTTGTTTTCTGAATGTTGTTCCCTGTTGAAATGAACCTGATTCCTTAGAGAAATGGTTGGTTGTGGGTCTGACACTGAAAACAAAGTTATTACAGGTGTACTCATGCAGACAGTAAAACAGTAAGTAATAGGAGGTACAGACAGCAGTGCTCAAACACCAACAGAAATGTCAGAAGAACACCGGAGGCAGCTTGAATTGGTGCCCACTGACCACATACGGGACTGTGTTAGCCTTAAAATGAATAGTAATAATAATGGCTATGTTGAATAGAAAACAAAAATCTATGAGCCCACAATCATAATCTAAAAATTAATTTTTAATTTGTTATCATTTATCTTCTCCTTTCTAGAAAGGGAAAGCCCTTCTCTAAAGAATGTCTTCTTAAAAATGTAGGAATAATACTGAATTAAAAAAGCATATTCTACAGTCATCAGGTAAAAGATTATTGTAGAACAGGATATTATTTACAGCTTCAAAACATTATGCCACAGAGTACTTTCTCTTTAAAAGGGAAATATATTTTTACATTAAAGATATCTGGCAGACAGACACCCACCATGACCAAGAGGTCAGCTGTACCATCAGTGTGGGACAAACTGACATCATGTTTTTTTCTGGAGTGTGGATTGAAGGTTGTAGCACTGGAAGCAGTAGCCCCAGTAGTACATGCATTTGTCAGATGAAAAATCATGAGGCCCTGGTCGGTTTGGCTCAGCATGGAGCATCAACCTGCAGACCAGAGAGTCCCAGGTTTGGTTTCCGCTAGGGGCACGTACCAAAAAAAGAAAAATCATGAGAATGAGCCAAGGCAATGCCTTTTTGCAGTTGAAAGGAGAGACATAAACTATATATATATTTTAATAGAACTTAGTGACTTAATATTGTTCAGCATTGAAGACATCTAATTTATCATGAGAAATATGTTTGTGAAGATTAAAATATGAAGTGTATTCACTGTAGGAAGATTTCTTAGACCATCGATCTAGTATACTTTTCAGGGATTTTTCCAAACTTTTTTTTTCTTCTCATTTTATCAATATTGCTTTTGTTTATTATTTTTTAATACTTAGTAAGTATTGCTAATTTATTACTAAGGAATATAGTTTAAGAAAATTATGCCTAAATTTTTGTTTAATCCAGGATATACCAGAAGATATTCTTAAGAATTTAGTGGAAGAGCTTCCCCAACCAAGAAAAGTACCCAAACGTCTAGATGAATACACACAAGAAGAAAAAGAGGCTTTCCCCAGAGTGTGGTCTCCGTAAGTCTTTCTCGTTCCTGTCTTTGTTTTTAGCTTTTTGTCTTTTGTCTTTTAAGCTGAGTTTAGTATCCCCTCTTTCCTTAAATGGTAAGGTTCTTGTGGTGGAGAGAGTGAGCTCTTTGTACTTCCTGGGATACTCTTTGCAGCTTCTACCTGCAAGTACACTCTAGATGTAGACAGTTGAACCAAAAGTCTAAGTCTGAAGACCTTGCTAAGTAAGTGCAAGGGTGTGCATAGGTACCTTTCATCGTCAGATATTTTGTTTGGAGTGACATCACTTGGATTTCTTGTAGTCTCTGGGAATGATAAATGAATTGTCATTACTGAAAACAAAGCGATTTTCCATTTTCCAGATTGCTTCACTAAGCCGAGACTATTATTTAATAAAAAGTCATTAATTCTGTATATTTATAGTCTTGATCCAAATTGAAAAACAAAGCCCTCTTTCCTCTCTTACAGTTCCCTCTACCTAAGGCCTGGAAAGCTGCTGAGATGTGACGCGCTCGCTCTCATGTTTCCAGCTTTGCCTGGCCGACCACCTCCATGACCTGGCTCCCCCCTCTCTTCAGCTTGCATCCTTCCCGCTCTGCTGCACGGCTGGAGCAATAGCAGACTGTTGAAGTTCGGCAGTCTATGCAGTTTACCTCTTCCTTGCCCTTGTTCTGCTTTTACTTCTGCATAAAATAAGGCCTCGCCTTATCGTCTGGGATAACTCTTACTCATTCTGTAGACCTTAATTCAGATGTTATCTCCTCTAAGAAGCCTTCCCTGAATACCAGAACCAGCTAAGTGCCGTGGCACCTGCTGCATAACTCTGGCATTACCACATTTAGCTCTTCCAAGAGAAGGGCTGCATCTTGTTCATCATTGCGTTCCCACTATACACACCGGTAGTTCATGTTACAGAGCCTCAGATGCTTACAGAATGTATGCAGTCAAGAGCCCAGCCGGTGTGGCTCAGTGGATTGAGCAGCATCCCATGGACTGAGAGGTCCTGGTTCGATTCCCGGTCAGGGCACATGCCCGGGTTGCAGGCTTGATCTCCAGTAGGGGACGTGCGGGAGGCAGCCAATCAATGTATCTCTCTCACATTGATGTTTCTATCACTCTCTCCCTTCCTCTCTCTCTAAAAAATTCAATTAAAAACTTTTTTTTTCTTTGAGAGAGAGAGAATGTATATACTCAAGAGAACCACACATCCTCATTTCTTGACCTACACAAGACAGCTAATCTTCAAATAGATTCTTCCCTCTATGCTCTGAAAATCCTATCCCTTTATTGGCTCTTGGCCAAATAGGTTCATGAAAATCTAAGCCTTCCCAGGATTGGCTATGTCCAGGAGTCTAATCATTGACCCTCATTATTGCCTGTGTATATAGCTTCAGACTCTTTCCTCACAGGAGAAGTATTTAGGGTGTTTTGTCGAAATCTTTTTGACCTTGCTAACTTGTGTCAAGGTTCTCCTTTACTAAATCTGCAAATGAAGAGCAAAATAATCTGTCAGTGATGCTTTACTGAGCACTGCCAGTGGCCCAGTGCTGTGCTAGTGGTTTACATGCGGCGCATCTAGCTCTCTCTGCAGGTCTGTAAGATAAATATGTTATCTCTACTTTTAAGAGTAAGCCATGGGTGAGCTGGTTTGTAGTACAGCCTGGATTTGAGCCTAACTGTGTCTGAATGCAGAGCTTGTGTTCTTTTCACAGAAGCAAACTGCTTCATTAACTTATTTGTTTAGCCAACCAATACATATTGGCTACCTCTTCTGTGCAAGACGTTGTAATAGGCACTAGGCACACAATGGAAAAATTATATAAAGAAATGATTTAATTTTGTTTCATTTATTTAATTCTAGCTCTTAACTAGGTTAGGTCATGGTCCCGACCACTCTGCTGGAGCGCCTCTTGTTGCCTCTTGTAGTATCTTACATGAATGTTTGTTCTATTCTGCTTTAATAAGTTATATCCTAAAAACGTATTTTAAGTAGTCCATGAAGTTTTGGAGTTTACCATGTTATACAGAGTTCTATAAAGCTAAATGTATCATACCTGAGTGTCTCATAGAAACATCATCATAACTGAAATTATATACCAAACCAAGAGGGGTATGGTACTTTCCTTTTTTTGTTGGAAATACCAAAGGTGCTATTGAAATCAAATATATGACCAAACACGTATTATGCACTTAGAGTTATATATTATGAATATTCAAAGTATATTCTAAATCAGTTACACTAGGCAGTATAGTAATATAATAACCATTCACAACAAATTATATTTGTTACCAAAGTCAGAATATTACTCAAAATGCTCATTTTACTAAGTGATTCCTGTTCATTTGAAACTGATTAGAAAGGTGACCAAGTACCTTTATTATATTAATGGAATTAGGGCTTATCTATAATTATTTTTAAATAGACTTTTAGAAAAACTTAGAACCTTTGATGCATTTTTTAGTTACTTCTCTGAGAATGGATTTTCTTGCCCTTTCTTTTCATTCCAGATGACCCTGTGGCAAGAATGTGTATTCGATACCAGGCTTTCCTTTAGCTAAAGTAGCCACAACATACAGGGCGGGCAAAGTAGGGCGACAGTTGTGCGTGCGCAAAACACAGAGTTTATTCTTGTGTTGTTACTTATTAATTGCATTATTTTCCATGTGAGCAACTGGAAACCTACTTTTGCCCCACCCTATATATTAACTGTGTTCCCAAAATAATAAGGTGTGTATACACTTACGAAATTTGAGGATATATCATGAGGTGTGCTAGTTATTAAACATAAATCATTTAACATATTATTCTGCACATTAGCACTAACGTCAAGTCTTGTTAGTTTTTATTACCGTGGAATGCATGTAATGAGGAAAAATATGCATTTTTGGATTAACCAAAAATGTGTTCTCTTTCCACAGTAATGAAGAAGCTCTGTATCAGAGCTGTCTAAGGTAGCAGCTCTTGGCCACATGTGGCTGTTGAGTACTTACACTGAGCTGGTATGACAGAGGAACTGAATATTTATTATATATCATTTTAACTAATTTACATTTTGGTAGCCTCATGTGGCTAGTGACTACCTTAACGGCCTATGCCATTTTCATTGTTTGCAATTTCATAAAGTTTTAGTATGAAATACTATTTGCATTAGAATTAGAGTTAAAATTTTTGAGGTACTATGCAATGCAGTCCATCAAAAAGGGGATTTCTTATTACTGATACACTTGCTTTCATAAAAGTTTTCTCCTTTTGGAGAAAGAACTTGCTTAAAATATGCTTTATGCTTTTATTCCACTCAAAATAGCTAAGCCAAGAATATAATTTTTCTTTCGAATGTAGTAACTGGAATTTATCCAAGAAAGATCTGTTGGTGAGTCTGTGGAGACTTGACTCAAACAGATGTACCTGGATTGCACCATAAATAAATGGACACAAAAACAGCTCACTTTGGTTTTTGTTTCCCTAGCAATAAAACCTGAAATATATTTCTAATATAAAAATGTACACTTGTAATTAGAATTCTCATTAGCTGTTGGTTAATATAAGTTTTTCTATTAGAGACAAAAAGCTTTTGAGTAACAATAACAATCTTCAGAGTAAGCTTAGAACCCAGTTGGTGACTGACAAAATTATTTTAATCTTAATTAAAAGCTACCATTGTTGGCATTTCATTTAAATTATTTAAAAATACTTACAAAAGTTGTATTCTCTCAGGCCAAGCTTCAGCATACATGAGATTTTCTTATGATAGTTGTTTAGTCATTTTCAAAACAATGGTAGACAAGGAGAAAATTATTTTTTATGAGAAAACTATATTGTTTTTAACTAAAAGTCATTTTCTCATATGAGAAGTGTTGCTTCTTAAATTAATGGATACATTTGGTGTATTATAGTACTGTCTACATCTCATGGATACATTGTGTTATCCTATGTCATGAAGTTATATTCAGTTTCTTGATGGAGCAAAGCAGATGTGTGTTTGCCCTGTGTACGTGGTGATTGGAGGATATACACTTAGAACTTACTTCTCAAAGAAGAAACAATAGCACTGTCGTGTCTTCACAGTTCAGTTGTCTGAGATTATAGCTTTCAAACAGTTAACTTATTTTATTACTATCAATTATTTCCATAATCATTGCAGTTTTGCCAACACATTACAAAATCACAATAATCATGGAAATTGTAATGCTGGCACTGGAATGGAAATTTTTCATTATGTAAGTTAAAAATAAAACTTGGACCATTTTAAACCCTTGTTTTCATTTTTTTTTTAATTCTATAGAACTTTTCTTAGGAAAAACTAGGTTTGTGGAAATTTTCACATAATGCTTCACATTATCCACAGTGATAAAACCAAGAAAGAAATGGACTTTTATTTCTCACCCATTAAATGCTTTATTTTAAGCAAAACCCTTATCTTTGTAAAGAAATGAAATATAGAAAGTTTCAGCATCAATGAATGCTTGAAAACAGATGTTTATCATGAGAACCCTGTTCCTAGTGTTTAATACTGCTTACAGAGTGTGTCATTAGAAGTGTGCTCGCAGGGGAGCGAGCATGGTGAGGATGGAAGGAAGGGAGGAGGCGTGAGGGGAGCCACCATCGGCCTGGAGTTCTTTCCTGAAAGTGGGAGTAGGGTTAGGGAGCTCAATAGCTAATCCAGGCAGCTCTGTGCAGAGAAAGGGTTCCAGCTGCCGGAGCGTTAGCCCTGGGCAGGGGACTTGGTGAGCAGCCTGTCTGGTCTGTAGCTCTAGGGGACGGGAAGGATGGAAGCCTGGTGCATGCCCTCTGATACAGCTTAATCCTCAAATGAACAGATGTCCAGTTTCAGTTAAATGTATACCCAGAGGGAAAAAAACGATTTTTACCTATTCCTTTATAAAATGTGCTTCAGATCAGAGACTTCATTACAGACAATGGAGAAGGATTTTTACCCTTTCAAAACCCATGAGGAGCTAGGGTCTAGACATCTTCAAGATTTTCCATAATTTCATGCTAGTCTAGTCGT